ATTTAACAAGCGATACATTTTTAGATTGCTTGAAACGATTCCTAGCCCGGCGTGGTCCTATTAAATGTATTTACTCCGATTGTGGAACCAATTTTATAGGAGCCAAAAATACTCTTGATTCCTTATTCCTTCTCCTAAATTCCGAAGAGTATAAAAAGCGTTTCAATGAATTATTGGTTTTACATGACATTGAATGGAAATTTAATCCACCGTTTGCCCCACATTTTGGAGGTATATGGGAGGCGAATATTAAATCAGTGAAGACCCATTTGTTTAAAGTTATAGGGTTGCAAATTTTATCCTACGAAGAGTTTAATACAGTCCTCAATCAAATCGAAGCCTTACTGAATTCAAGACCGTTATGTTGGCTGAGCAATGATCCGTCGGACCCTCAGCCTCTTACGCCTGCGCACTTTTTAATGCAAGAGCCTCTGTCGGATTTGCCCGTTGACTATGAAAACTTGAATTTGACTAAAAGAAAACAATTGCTAGATCATATTGTCGCTTCTTACTGGAAGCGATGGAATGTGGAATATCTAACCGAGCTACAGGTCCGACAGAAATGGAATACAGTCACTAATCCTATTAAAAAGGGTGATTTGGTAGTTGTAAAACAAGAGAATGCGCGTCCGCTCCATTGGGGGTTGGGAAGAGTTGAAGAGGTTTTTCCGGGCTCCGATGGAGTGGTTCGAGTAGCATTGGTAAAAACGGGAAATACCCTAATCAAGCGGCCTGTTGTCAAACTATGCCCCCTACCTATTCAATAGTTTATATCTGAATTATTCATTAAAAAAAAAAAAAAAAAAACTTTCTATCTCATGATATATTTGCTTCTATATATAGTTTTGCCAAATTTTCAATTCCAGGGCGATGAGAACACCCCTCATAGTCTCTGGAAGATTCTTGTAAATGTCCAAAAAATCTAGACCCTGGCGCGAAAATAAAACTTCCGCAATCTAGATTGTGTGAATGTGGTAGGTGTGAGAGCGGGACCCTGGCGCGAGGTCAGGCTTCCGTAACCGATCTACTCTGAATGAAAGTTTGAATTTATTTTGGCAATTCTATCCTTCCTAATCATGAGGTTCACTATGTACCAATTTCGAGTATTTTCAGAAGTATAAAAGGCTAACCTTTTAGTCGGGGGAAAATGTTTGCGCCGCACCTGTGTAGGTTGTCGGACCTGTAAAAGGTTTGTTTTTCTACTCGGACAATACGTTTCAAATTTAGGCAATCGGGCAATTCTGACTCATAAAAAGGCCGATGCAGGCAATAGTTTTTGGCATTCAAGTCTATTCATTCCGCGCCTTTCATTCGTTCAGTTACTTTCAGTTCCTTACAGTGTTCGAGTTGATTTATTCCGTGGTTTTCATTCATTTTGGTTTAATTCATTCATTCAGTTACTTGCAATCAATACATTCAGTTCCTTTCAGTGTTTGTTATCAGTTCAATATTATCAGTGGATTAAATTTCTATTGTGTGTCAAGTCAACAGTTATTTTTATTTGTCAGTGTATTCGAATTTCTTTTCAACCTATCCAACGACTACGCTGATGTTTCCAGATCCAACCAAATAGCTGCCGCGGCTTGGACTTCCAAAACAGATAACATTTTCATACAATATTAATTAGTGTTCATTTTTGTTTTTTCATTTATATAAAATTTATATAGAATATATTTTAGTTTATTATTGATTACGGAGTAAGAAGAATTTTATTTTTAATTTATATTTGTTTACCATTGGTTTTTGTTTTCGGAATACATTTAATTTTTTTTTTTATTTTTCCTCGAAGTATAAAATACTTCGAAAGGGGTTGAGAAACCCCCCAACATCAACATCTGGAAAAAAATATTTTAAGTACCTACCAAAGTTGTACAATACTTGCTTTAAAAATCTCTTGTCAATCTTATATTAATGATTGTATGAAACATAATGTCAAAAATAACAGATTTTTTAAATTTGTACATTAGGCTTATCTTATGAGATTTTTTTTCTTAAATATAGCATTCAAAATACAATGAAATCATATAAACTATTCATAAGTTAAATGAAAAAAAGAACTATAAATTTATGAGATTTTTTACTCGTTTCTTTACTTTATGTTTCAATCTATTAGCTGCTACGTCATATAAAAAATTTAAAATCGATGATTTCATGTTTTAGATAAATATATTTTCTTTCTTTATAAATATATTTTGTATTTTTTGCATAACTTAAGGGGCCGATTTTGTCGTAAAATGAACCAATGTTATAGAAGGTTATGTTATGTAGCACCAGTTTATACCAGTTTTTATATAAAGTGGTACTAAAAACTGGCAAAATTCTATGTGATTGCTGTGTACTCAGGCATTTTAGATAAAAAATCTAACCTACAAAACAAACACTACAAACACAACATATAATAAAACGATGTTATCATAACAGGTTCTTTGAGATATGATTGATAACATATGAATGAAGTTGCACTTTATGTTGAAAACGTCTGATCGCACTGCAAATTCATGGCATTTTGATAGTGATTAGTAGCATTCTGTATGAAAACTGGAACGTTACATAGCCTTGCCATAACATTCGTCTGTTTTACGGCAGAATCGGCCCATAAGATTAGAATTGATAACTGCGAAGACATAATTAAAAATCGTTATTGATTTAGACTCTACCAACTAATGATTTATTTAATTTAAAATTTATTTAGCGCTTTATTTAATAGTAATACAACTGCGCACAATATTATATTTATTTAGCAACTTGTTCAGATAAAAATTTTGATTAACTAAAGTAAATATGGAGAGATCTCAATTATAATAGCAAATCTATTTTCGGAGAGATTTATTTAATTTGACCCACATGGTTTATGTTTGTATTATTTTTATGGCTTACATGAAGCTGTATATTCAGCGTAGACAATACAATATTAAAATAGTTCCTCAACTTAATCACCTACCACAAGGCGAACGAGTTGCCGGATGCAGAGCAAGTGCGCCACTTTTTTATTTATACTATAGTTAAAATGGTAATGAAATTTTTTTATGTTGAAATAACTCATTACAGGTATATATGTATATACATTAGGGCGGGTCGGTTTTAAGGTCACTTAGGCACATATGATTTTTGGGTACTAGGAATCAAAATATGATAATTTGCTGAAGAAATTATACCTCTAAAATGAATTATGATGTCGCGTGCATCGACTCCAAGATAAGGGTTAAATTTTGAAAAATCTGACATGGAGGGTCCCGAGTGATGAACCACGGACAAGGGTGGATTGGTCTTCTTTAGTCTTAAAAATGTATTTATGGAATAACAAAAATAGCAATATCATTATTTAGTATTTTATTTAATGTGTTATTTTACAAAAAAAAGATTCAATCGTTATTTCAAATTCTTCTTACGATTTGCGTTCATAGTACTAGTTTAGTATCGGACGGTGAAGAAAGTAATTATTTTTTTGCGCTGAATTAAAATTCTACAGAGATCTAAATTCTCTAAATCTGGTTAAAATCAACATGACCATTTGGAATTCTGTCCTCGTTTCAAATTTAGCTTTTATATTATGCAATAAACGTACGCTTTTGGCGTCTTGGCTTTTGAGAGACCACAATGTAGAGTGTTGACTATTATATATATAATACTTCTACATCGATTGATTGAACTTATGAGCAAAGATGTTAGTAATAAATGAAAAGAATTTTTAAACTAGTATTTATAACAATAATAAAAAGTATAGCGTACTAATGTACTTATTTATTTCTATACGGCTTGGTTTTGATATGCTTCAAAAATTAAAATGACCATTAATTAAATCATTTTTTACTAATAATATTACTTCACTTAATAACTAAAAAAAATTTTGGAAACAGAACATTCTAAAACTATTAATTTTTTGTGTTTCCATACGTCTTGGCTTAAATTTGTTCTAAAAATTGATTTGGCCATTGATTGTTATTATGATAAATGTAAGGCTTTACAAAAATTTAAATAAGTGCTTGGTATATTCAATACATTTATAGCGAAATGCAAAAATGTATGGACTAATAATACTACAGTGATACCCGCATAACAAAGTTTTTTTTCGGTTTCGAATGTTCCACATAACGAACTTTGCTTCACACAGCGTCCTAAATCGTTGTCAATTGTAGTCAAAAAACATATGTTACTCAAATTAATTTAAAGAGTAGACCTTGGAAATTTTTGCTTAGAAAATATACTTGGAAAAAACTATCGACAGTTTCTTTAAAAATTCTGAAGCTAAAAGAGCACAAAAAAGCAGCATGACTCTGATAGTAACTTATTTTAGTAATCAGTAATATTTTTTTACATGTCTTAATCATATGTAAAATATATCTTACTTTCTATGACCACATTTCAAACTACAGAACGAATTAATTTTATTTTCATGTATTTGCATGGGAAAACGCGTTTCGGATAGCGAACTTTTCGCACAACTCCCGGAACGAAATAAGTACGTAATGCGGGGTATAGCGTACTTCATTAATTGACAAAATAAAATTTTGTAAACAAAACATAAAGCGCAAAATTTATTCATTGATGAACTGTTTTGCCATTTTGCACGTTAATTCGGTACGTCGAAAAGGAGCTGAGTACCAATTATGAACATCGACCAGGGTTTATTCTGGATTTTAAGTACTATTCTCATTACCTACAAATATCGGAAATGATTATATGAGAATTGTACATAATAGTTGTACATAGTAGTCGACCTATAATAGTATTAGATATTATTGTGATTAGGTATTATACTTAGTAATACACGATCAGCATTTAAAGTCAAATTGAACATAACCGCATCGCCGTTGCTAAAGCATCATGAAACAATAATATTTCATGTGACCATCGAAGTCCCATATGGTGACATGAACATGTTGATATCGTTAAGTATTTTGAAGCCATGATGATATGCTAGAATATTAATATATTTTCTTGTGTGAATGAGCAAACTATAGCTTCCAGCTATATTGTATAGATCTATTAACGAATTTCAGGGTCTAAAGCGATCCGTGACAACGCTGCGGGGCGGCACATTGGGATACGCGGAAATTGTCGCCGTTAAGGTACCCCTTGCTTCCTTCCTGAAACAGACATAATATTCTTCCTGCGAACAATATCCTTTGCTGATCCTAGACCAAAGATAGATATATACCGAAAATACATTTGTTTCGATAATGATATTGAGTAGTAAACTCATGTCATAAAACATCTGCGAATAAACGGAATCTAGTTACATTCACTTATATATAATTCACCTATATATAATTTTTAGAAATATCAACACATTGCCCTCCTTCTTGCAATATTTATTTTCTCATCTTCTGTAAGAATATATATATAATATATATATTCTTACTGAAGTATACAAAGTTTTTCAGAAATGTGACCATATTTAATATTTTAATCAAAATTTAATTATATATATATATTTATTATTTATTTAATTCTAGTCTCTACTACCTTTCCTATCTTTTATATTTGGTTTGTTGTTAAGTGTTGCTGTTTGTTAATTTTTCTCTTATTGTATAGTTACTTTACCAATCCACATATATTATAATTACCTAGATATGCTAATTTTCATACTGTTTTTAGATCCACTGATGATGACATTAAATTGAATGTCGAAACGTTTGGAAATAAAAATTATTTTATAAATCTTTGGCTTTTCTTTGTTTGATGTATCGCCCTCAAGAACTCACTCATATATATATATATATATATATATATATATATATATGTATATATATATTTAAATTTTGATCAAAATATTAAATATGATCACATTTTTCAAAAACTTCGTTTACAACTTATATACAATGCGTAACAATGTTTAATTTAAATTATTTATTTATATTTACACTGACAAAGAGGCAAACTTACGAAATTGAGTCAATTTTGTTTAATTTTTTGATAATATAAAAAGTGTGAAACTTAAAAATATGAGGTTCTTGAAAACAATATTCGAAAAATTATTGGTGAAGTATCTACGAGGTTGTCAGTTTTTGACTCTATAACCTTCTATTTTCTGTTTTTTTTTAGTTGCAAAGTATGGAACTCAGTAGGACATTGTAATATTTACACTTTTTAAAAATATTATTTATTTATATTTACTTTAAAGGTGAGTCAAACCTAGTCTTGAACTGTACGTTACTTTAATATTATTCAATAAATAGTGAAAAAGGAGTGCAATTCCAAATAATATTTTTTCTACTTAAAATACTTTTGACACTGTATATATATATATATATATCACCAATAGTAGAGATTTTTTAGAATCGATTTTATCGCCTATACTATAATAATGCTAATCGAGTTATTTTTTATAATATTAACTATATGTTTTGATAAGGGGTTGAATTATTAAACAGCATCATAACGTCTCTATTTCTTTAGTTTTTTATGCGTTATTGATTCTATCTCTATTTCAGATATTAATCATTTTTATGTGGAAGTTTTATCTTTTTTAACGTTTTTTACATTAAGGGTTTATACAGAATATTTTGTAAACATTTTGTTGCCGTCTATTTGTCATTCTTACTACCGCAATAGAAATAATTTTGTGAACCATTTATTGTAAATCTTAATGAAAAAACAGAGCAAGTTAAATATTATTTTATTACATATTTATACGGATTCATACCTTTACCTCGACGAGTTCGATTTGTGTTTCATCTGTAGTATTCAAGACGAGTGCTGCCATTTTCCAATGTTTGATTAATAAATTTATTTCTGAAATATTGATGGACAAGATATAATATATATATATATATATATATATATATATCTTGGAAATATCAGGATAATATTTATTACTTCAAACACGTTTATATTATTCCTTCGAATGCCGCCGAGGGAAGTTTATAGCAAGAAGTAAGCAAACAAACGCTAATTTACATATCATTTATATTGCATGAGAAATTTATCATGCGCTCTGATTATATTTATTACTGAATTCTGTTTATCTAACAGACAATTATTCATTATGGCAGTACGTACGAACAGAATTTGGATATGTATATATATATATATATATATATATATATATATATATATACTAGGGTGGTCCTTAATAAGCGCATTTTCGAATTTCCTTGCTCCCAAGGGCTCAAATGGTTCCAAATTTCAACACAAAACAATTCTCTCATAGTTTTAGCTCTTAATATTGACTTTTAGATAGAGCGCAATTCAATCAAACTTCGTATAGAAATAGCATAAAAAAATTTTTGAAAATTAAAAAAAAAATTTTTTAGGTATAACTTAGCGTATAAAAGTGAAAATTTGTGTCATTTTTATTGAAAATTCGACGCTCTGCAAAATTCGAAAGGAAATTCGAAAATGTCTATATTAAGGACCACCCTAATGTATGCATACAGGGTGTTCCAAACTTTGAAGCCTAACCGAAACGTCGTTGAAATTGTCAGCATTGAAACAAAATTCTTAAATGTTTTTCATTTACAATCAGAAACATTAGCATAATTGCCTCAAGTTTTCAAGAATTAATACATTTTGTTGATGAATTTAAAATTTATAAAATCGGTCGACTTTGAGAGGCTCTTATTAAGAATTTTTTCCTAAAATTTGTTGGCAAGTTTTATCAAAAGTTGGCACATTCATTGTAAAATGGTAAAATACCTGAAAAGTAAAAAAATAAAAACTATTTTGCTATATATATATATATATATATATATATATATTATATATATATATTTAATTGGTATTTATCTTGGTCAATCCTTTTATCATCCCTAATCAATTTTCCAATTTCTTTCCAAAACTTTAGTATTTTATAGGTGTCGTTAAGCAATATATTTTGTTCATGATAAAAACATTTTGAAAGAAATATTTTTAAAATGCTTTTTATTAATTTATTCATACATTTTGTTATAATATTAATACCTAAAAATATTACATTTTATCAATCAATGTGAATCATGAGCAAAATTTATTTTTATTCATCTACATGTGATGTGTACATTTTTTGTGAAAGGTTATAATTATTTGCGATAATTTTTATCATTTCTAGTATATTTTGTATTTTAGATATTTTGTGTTTCAGGTGTTAGTGGATCTACTAAAGCATGTTTATTATATATATATTTTATGTGTATTTATGTGTTATTACATTTTTATATTAGATTGTACATCTATATATTTATTATATATTTATATTTTATTATATATAATTTTATTTTGTTTGACCTATTAACAACCAATACTGGTTTGTGTGCGGTTTATAAAATGAGTGGTAACAAAATTAAAAAACAGACTTGAAAACAAACAACTTTTATAAAGAATTTTTAAATTTAAATTATTTTCTTGCAAAATTTACAACAATTCTAAGCTGTACATAACGTTATTCTTGATTCTCTAATTTTTTTTTATTAATTCTCATACGATATAAAATATAAATACCCTGTTTTTTATATAAATAAAATCTTAATATTTTAATATAAAATTACTTATAAATTTTTATTTTTTAGTACTTTAATTTGAAATCATTATTTATTTAACATATTTGTTAGTAATGAAATATCTTACTTAAAAATATTTTTTCACCAAAAAATAATTAAATTTTATTATTAAATTTTAAAATTTTATTTGGCTATTTTTATAATATTGTACTGATTATTTTGTCGTTTTTCGGGAAGAAAACGTATAAATAAATATATGAAAGATATTTCCACTTTTGGTTCAGGTAGCTGATACATCCGCAGGCGCTGGCATTTTGAACAAATTTTTCGCGTATAATTTTGTTTTTTAAATATTATTTTGGGCAATATACTCAACATTGTATGTTATTTTAGGGACTTCAAGCCAAAGGCATAAACGTTACTGCCGAAACTTTAGTAACGCTCAAAGTAAGTCCGAAAACCGCTTATTTGAAAACAGAAAGGCAACTACTAACTATAAAATAACCGATGAAAATAATTATTACTGGTTCATGAATTAACAAAGATAAATCATAAGCATCTTTCTAACTAACAGTCTATATTAATTATTTCTACTCTATATATTTTTTATATTTAATATTGGGTGTTTAGTCAGCAAGCAACATGTTAACTAAAACTCTATATTAATCACATTATTCATCTGCATAGAAATCATAATAATAAATATCATCAAAATTATCTATAAAGTCACATCAAATAAAAAATAAGTTTCTTATTAAACGACAAAAGCATATTAAAATTAAGGGGAAGTTTTAATTGATGTTAGAAAATTGTCAATACACTACTCCTAAAATTTTTGGTATAAGGTTTTTTGCCATTTGTATTGACAATATGAAGAATTTTTGAAAAAGCAGGTTTAGAGGTTTCGGAGATCCAATAAAAAATGTTTAAAAAAATGTCATTTGGCGGTGAACAATGATTATTAGACATATGCATATCCACTTATCAGATATTTTATAGAAATTTTAATAAATAGTGCAAATTTTGTTCACATTTCTATGGGTTCCTATGGCGACGCGGCGCTTTCGCGCTTCTATATTGCGACTTTAAAACAGCTACGCAGCTGGATCACTGGCTAAAATTCAAAAATATTCAAAATTTTCAAAAAGTTACACTATTTTCATATTATCAAATCTGTTGAAAAAAAATCAAAATTTTCAAGAGTCTCAAAATTTTTTTTTTCAAAATTTTCAAAAAAAATTTAAAGCTTTTAAAAATTTTAAATTTTGATCGGTTTGTGATGAAATGATTTTTTTCAAAACTAGTGGTACATGGCATTGTGCATTAAGGCAAATTGCTAGAACTTTCTGTATCAAAATTTAAAATTTTTAAAAGCTTCAAATTTTTTTGAAAGTTTTGAAAAGAAATTTTTTTTTGAGACTTGAAAATTTTGATGAATTTTGAATTTTTTCTTCAAATATGAAAATAGTGTAATTTTTTGAAAATTTTGAGTATTTAGTATTAGAGATGCATAGTATAAAAATTTCAAGTAACACCATTTTGATTATGTAGGTAATCGTTTTTATCCTTGTGTGAGTAGATCTTATCAAAATCAATTGAAAGAAAATTAATCTCATCTTTTTTATCAAATTTGTATTTTGATGTTTCAATCATTTAAAATTGCCTAGAGGCGTATTTCTACCATATATAAATCACGCCCATTTTATAACGAGTTATTCAACTTGCAAGATTGATGGACAAACTCCAGAACTTTGTACAATGCATCTATGCAGTTATTCAAGGTGGACTATAGAGAAAGTTTTTGGATGAATGAAATGTCAATTTTCATTATTTGTTTTTAATTAATTATAAAGATTGGATACTATATTTCAATAATTTCTCCTTCTATATATTTTCATCTTACAAACGAATAATTATATTTCAATTGTTTTTTTAATCCATAAAATAAATATTCAATACATATTACAATTTCAAAAATATCCGCACAATCTCAGTATACAAATTTTGATTAGTTACTTGATGATGTACCATTACACGTGGATATAAATTTTAATAATTTCTGGTTTGAAATTGAAAATGAGTTTCCTCTTTATCTCTCTATGTGTAAAAATAAAATGTATGAAAGTATATTATTTCATATATATATATATATATATATATATATATATTTATATATATTATCCGTAATTTGAATAAACGATTTAATAACACGTGAGAGGATGTTTTTGGATGCCACGTTGTTATGGCTGGGTCTTCACGTCAATACATGGGTTTTAAAATTATTTTTAAATTATGTGTAAACTCTTTTAAATAATTGAAATAATTATTTTTTACTGCATCAAGTTTAAAATCATATATAAATATATTTCATTTTTTAATATAAATATACTAATAATAATAAGTGGCTAATGCATCTACTTGCTGATAAGGCCAATAGACCAATATAAAAATAGAAGTGTAAATCTTTATTTTCAACCCATAATTTTATGTTTTTGTGTTTTTATTTACCGACTATAATTAAAATGGCATATGGCATCGTTTATATTTTGATTATCTCTATTTATTGAAACATAGAATTTTTGTAACGGGTGGTCCATCTAGTGGTCCTTTTAGATATTTCTGTGAAGAAAACATATAAACTATAAAGTATTATACATCGTTAGAAAGGTTTCTTAGTTTTCAATTCTTAGTTTTTTCCCATATATCGCAACTTCGAATTTCGCTCGGTATGGCCTACAGGCAAGTTGCTATTGATAAAATCCAATTTTCAAATGGGCCACTCTATAGTTTTTTTTATAGAGGCGAATTATAAATTTAGTGGAAAATGAAACTAAATCTTTAGAATCATTGTTGCCGTTGATGATATATATGGTGACATCATAAAGTTAGAAGTTATGAAGTTCTACTTAGTTTATAAAATCTACAGGTTAACTTATTTTCAAATCTAGAATATAATTTATAAGAGAAATATTCTTGAATGAGATATATTATATCAAACAACAATAATTTGTGCTTTAAAATTTCATTGTTAGGTAAATACCATTAAACCATTTGTTTACAATAAGTTTCAACTATGTATTTAGGATTTAAATTCAATTGTATGCCAATTGCTTGTGAAAATTTATTTATTTACCACTATTTAATTTAGAAATTGTTTTATTCATAAAACCAAAAAAAAATGCGAATTTTACCTATATCTATAACAACCTTGTATGATCGTATACTATTTACTTCTTCTTTAATTTATTTGTATTAGAATTACATTTTATAGCTTAAATACACTTTCATACTATGAAATATCCATGTTAATGTCTTCTACTAATTGTAAACTATTTTTAATTCTTCTTGGGGAAAGACAATTCATAGATCAACTTGGCGCCAACTCCAATGTAATGTTTAAATCCAATATAATGTTTAAATTTAATGTTTTGTACTACTACTTGGACTGCCCTTATTTATTTTTAAAGTAATATTTATTCAATCTGTTACATATGAAAAATAAATAATTCGAGGCACATGTTTAATTTAATATTTATTTATTTATAATTCTCAATAAATTTTTCTCAACTTTTTACTTTGCACTGCTAATAAAGTTATTAGTTCTCACATCACGTTCAATCGATGCCCAATATTCTGATTCATGAAAGAATATTTTTTCGATGAAAACCTATATTAAAAAAAAAACTAGAAAAACTTTGTCACTAAAAATTTTCAATATTTAGTTTATATTAAGAATTGTTATTTAAGTTAATATACTAGTTGAGGAGGAAAACAACGATCAATAATCTTTTCTGAAATCAACATATAACATTATGACAAATTGTTGGACTTATTTGCATGTTTTTATATTCTGATTACACCAAACATGTTGTTGAACCTTTTGTTTTATTTTTAAAAGTCATATTTCATCCATTGCATCTTGAAAAATAGCATGATTTGAATGATTATGGAATGTTAAATTTACTTACTAATTATGCATATACTATATAATTTTAATACCATTACAAAATGATTAAATCATGTTCATTTCAAACTCATACGCTTGACTTGTACATTTTTTAATCATTTAATTTTGCAAGTAATAAGGTATCACATAATTAAATTGATTCAATATAATTAATTGGGATTATGCATTTAATTTTAATAAAGCTAAATATTTTAACGGTACTAATTTTGCTAATTAAATTACTATTATTAATACTATATTGACACAAAGTTGTGACTCTAATAATATTTTTCACAAATAGATTATAGGTTGATAATTCTATATTTGAAAATTGTTTTTTATTTAAATATTTAATTACTATGTTTAAAATTCACAATTTTTAAACGCAAGAAGACATTGCAAACAATTAAATCCATTTAAAATGCGGAATATTAACTCAATTTGGTAAGAAGACAGACCACAAATGTATACGTTATATTTTTAAAATAATGTTTATTAATATTATATAATGTTTTCCAGTTATTTCGTATTCAGCAAGCAAAAACTTTGTCAAAAAGTTTAGAATCAAACGTGAAATTTTAATTGATACCTTAATACTTCACCTAATTACTAATACTTAATTTACTAACCTTGAATGTTATCGTCGTTATCATTCACTAATTTATGTAATCATCATTAATTTATTTTATGTGCAACCATTTAACTTATTCTTGTTATTTGTTTTTCACACTAGGGCGAACCTGGAGAGCCTGGTCCACCAGGACCAGCAGGACCTCCGGGAGCTGAAGGATTACCAGGACAAGACGGTAGACCAGGACCGCCTGGCGAACAGGGTCCGCCAGGAGAAAGAGGTCTTCAGGGTGTTGCGGGTCCGCAAGGGCCTTCTGGTACACCAGGATTGCCAGGACTTGCCGTAAGTTTGAGAAACGATTTTGAGTTTTTGAAGTAAAACTTCTTTAGACGCGACTAGGTTGTAAATCCGTACAAATGCAACGGAAGTGCATTACGGCAGATAAGATAAGATAAGAGTCGAGTGCGAATGATACGTCATTCGCTCTCGGTGATACCATTTCTATACGGGCCGATTGTGATTAGTCGTCGCGTATGTGAATAGAGATCTGTCGTTGTATGCGTACCGGCGTCAACGTTGTATGCGTACCGATATCAACAAGGAAATTAGCATAGATAAATAAACATTTTAAAGTTACATCGTAGTACAAATCTTCATTTAATGAAAAATGCCTGAATCAGAAGAATATTTTACCCTGTCCCCCGTAAATAATTATAATGAAAATAATAAAACAAATGCAGCATGTGAAGTTGCGAAAACAACATTTGTTCAGGCGTTGTTTAACATAATCCACTGTGTGAACGAATATTATAGAAGTTATTAATCAGCAATTACTTCATTTCTCTAATGAAGGTTCATTTCTAAATGCTAATTACAATGACAAACCGATCATGTCATATTCAAAGTATGACTTTAATTACATTATTGTTTTTAAATATTATACATATTTTAATGCTATTTTAAATATATAATTTATAATTTAGCATTATATGAATGTGTATAATGGTTGACACTAATAAATGTGTGCATCACGAGTGTTACCATATTACTAATAAACATTATTTAAAATTGTTATATGATGTATTTATTTTAACTTAAATGCCATCTTGTACAGTAGCAAATAAGTTTTACTTCAATCGCGCGTGAACCTTACGCGCACCCTTTTTTCGTGGACTTTCTTTCTATATGCATATGTTTTTTTTTAATTTTCAGGGTGAAAAGGGAGATAAAGGCGACCGAGGTTTAACGACTACTTTGAAAGGTGACCAATTCCCTACTGGTATAATTGAAGGTCCTCCTGGACCGCCTGGTGCCCCGGGTAAGTTTACCAATGTTTTTTATCGTTAATTTTGTTTGAGGTTTAACGTGTTTTTTGTGATTGATAATGTAAATGATTAATTCTAGTAATGTTAAAAGAAACTAGTGGAAAATTAGTAGTGTTAAAAGAAAAATTTGGAAACTTGCAACAAAATATTAAAAATGCATTACTGAAATTTGATTTTTGGAAAGAGTGGATATTGTCAAATATTGATCAAAATTTATTTGTTACTATTACTTTATTAATAATTTCAATGGCATTTTGTTTTATATAGAAAGAAAAAGGTGTTATTAGGTTATTTCCGGAAAGGTGTTTTATTTGAACTTATTTCCATTTATTATTGATAATAATAATATGTTAATTAAAATAAATAAATAAGTTATAATTGATGCAAGTCTCCCATGGTTTTCTAAATTTCTTGTTTTTATTAATTGTTGTAATTTTTTTAAATATTTTTGGCATGTTTCAATTTTTGTTTATAACGAGCAATCTTAGTTAACATTGTTAGATGTAGCAATTAACCTGCTGCTTTTGTGTAGTGAAACAAGTAATACTTTACTATTTATTTTAATATGCACTAGCAATAACATATTTTCGCTCAAATTACTTGAATAACGTGGCGACATCCAGATATCGGGAATTACAATGAAATATCCCAGCGCACAACCGTGAGAAAAATTGTATGCGAACATACTTCTGTAACGATAATATTTGTAAAACTAAATTACCGATTTTGGTATGGCATGGTTGTATAATAAAAAAATCCAAAAGAAATTACTTTCTACTGGTTCTGGAATGTAGGGGTAGAAGGTGCGCGAGGTCCGAAAGGAGACGCGGGTCCTGAAGGGCCAACAGGGCCGGCCGGCGAGAAAGGGGCCCGTGGCAAACGCGGCAAACGGGTAACGTACATTAAAAGTCTGGTAATGATCGGGTTTGAGATGATACAACTCGATTCGGGGAGCTAGGGGCTTGTTGTAACAGTTTTTTTTTTAATTAACATATCTTGAGATCCACTTATTATATATGATGGGTACATGCTGTAACTACTCTTCTACCGTATCAAGTAAAAATAATTCAATAACTATTGTTCATTATTTCACAATTGATCATTTTGTAGAAAAAAGTGCGGTATTACAACGTACCCCATGTTTGGGGCCAGTTGTAACATCTACCGGGGCAAGTAGTAACGTCAAAAAACGACAATTATACCTTTGATAATTTATAATTTGCTTATTTTTGAGAAAATTAACAGGCTTAAGTAAGTAATTCTTCTCATAAATCAACGAAAACTAGAACACAGGTCTAAATAAGATAAAATAAAAGAAGTTGTCTGTATTGAGTGTGCAGCATATGTTTTCAAATGTAGTGTTTACCGCTGAATACGTATCTAAAGTCAAAATTAAGGGTTTAATGCCAAGAAATTAAAAAAAAACTTAAAGAAACGACAAAATCTGCGACCTAGTAATTCTTCTGCATAATAATCAAAATCTCACAATTTCTGCCATTTCATGGCCCTTTTTATCTTACATGACTATTGAGTTTCAATTAAATGATCAATTGGGTTTTTTTGTATAATTTAGCAGTAATTTTCAAACATATTTCTACCCTATTGCCCCTGGGTAATTTGCAATCAAGTTCACAATTTGAATATCTGAAAATGTGTTGACAAAATATTTCTGTATTCTACAAAAAATATTAATAGATTATTTAAGTGAATACTCAAGTCATTTAAGGTAAAAAGAACCAGAAAACGACAAAAATTATAAGATTTTAAGTACCACTGAAAAGAATTTTGTAATTTTTTTAAATTTTAAAAAGCCTGTTACTACTTACCACTGTTACAATAAGCCCCTAGCTCCCCTACTTTATATGTCGCAATTAGTACAAAGTGAAGTGAAACTAAATTTAATTACAAAACTATTTTTATCGAAATCAATATTCTTATTACAAACACAAATGATTTACATAGTCTAAAATTTAATAAAAACATTCTTGATATTTTGAATGCAATAAAGTTATAATTCACTATACATACATTACATGTAAATGATCAACAATTTTAATGCGAAAAAATTAAAAAATCTGAAATTGAGCAATAAATTTATATAAATGGTAAAAAACATACGTTTCAAACTTCAACAAATCATCAGTAAAATTTTAGTATATTTTTCAAATACTTTTTTACTTTGTACCAATTGTCGATTTTTCTCATATCTTGGAGATGTCGGAATGTGTATGAACGATTACAAGAAATGAAAAATAATTATTATAGCATGGTACTTGCTCGGAACATGAAGAATGTTACATTTGAACGATATTTCAAAAAAATGAAAGTGAATGAATTATATCTAAATTGATAAATTTGCTACCTTCTACATAGTATTCTTGCTCTTCGTTACATCTGATTACATCTTTACAATATTTATTCGCCTTTTAAATTTATCGCGAAAAATGGATGTTGGTTGACTATTGCATGAACAAACAATTCAGTCATTGGGAAATTAAAAAAACACTGATATAGAATCATAATACCAAATTTAAAATATAAATCAGCAGTCATAGTAACTCGATTTTGACTACTAATTTTTTTGCCTTGAACATAATAATATGGTGATGATGCAATAAGATGTTATAAAGTAAATTATTGGAAACCTAATTAGAAATTCTATTAATATTTGTTATTGTATATTTATTTTGCATATTTAATATTTTTCTCATCTCTTAAAAAGTTCTCAAAAAATAATTATCCAACGCCACAACAATTCGCATTTTACCTAGAAATGCATCAAGCAAGAAATTACATTGTTGCTGTTTATAATCACAGTACAAATATTTTCGTTTTTACATTTTTTTATTTTTTTTTTTTTGTTTTTGACCAAACTTGTTTACAAGTTATATATCATACCTAAGCAAAAATTCAATTTATTCTTATAAATTGAGTTCATTTTTCTGCATATACTTTTACAGTAATGGCTCTCCTATAAAAATGAGTTTGAGTATGAGTATGAGTAGTATTTAAATTTGATAAATTGGATGACCTTGACCCATATTTTTGGAGCCATAAATCACTCTAAGTCCTGTACTGATTCGTCATATGAAATTTGAATACATTAAATTAAAACTGCATGATGTATATATTCAAGAATTTGAATGGCATGTGCTTATAAAAAGGCTTCGAGATTTTAAATTAGTTGCATTACCACTTAAATAAACTTAGTTTAATATTATTTGTTTATACATACTATTTTGTTTATTTAAAGTATTTTAAGGTCTAATAAAAAATATGTTAAATATCGTTTTAAAGGTTTACAAATGCAAATGGTATATGAAATATTTTGTGGAAGGCTATATTCAGTACACTTGTTATTCACGATATTGATGTGTCATTATTGTTATTGTTATTATTAGTATTAATATTGTATTTAGTTTTACTATGTGTTTTTAACAATGTCCTTTAGTTATTTTGGACATTTTAGAATATTTTGTAGTTATACTTATTTTTAATTTTTGTGAATTTATTTTTTAATTTTTATTAATTAATAATTTAAATTGTTATATGTAGATGCTTCAGCTCATTATTAATTGTTTAGATGCAATAGAATATTTATTTGTGGTGTAGATAATTGTTGTTGGTAACTAATTGTGTGATGGCTTCTAACATCGTCACGGCTGCACTAACGTAAGTAACAATTGCCTATTTTTAACATTAATTGTTTAAATATTTATTAATTATAATTAGGATGTTTTTTAAATTAATTTAATTAATTAATTTATCACTTTTACAAACTAAATCTATAACACTAATAATAAGAAAAATGTTCAATAAATAGTTTTTAGTACACTGCGTCACACTTGTATGCTTCTACTTTTACTCTTTTGTTTAATTTTTTTTTTTCAAATTAACATGAAAGAAAAAATTTTATGCCATACATCTTGATTTACAAAATTTATGTTAATTTAATTACATTATTAATTTTTCTTAAGATTATATTATTTCATACTACTATTTTTGTGAATAACAGATGTTTCTAATATTCTACCTAAAAATCTTATCTGGTTTCACTGAAATACCTTTATTTATATTATGTTTATAATACAAAATACTATCAATTTACTTGAACACTTATCGTACTTAAGTTAATTTTTACAATGTTTCACACAGGTGAACCTGGAAAACCTGGACCACCAGGACCACGTGGACTAGATGGTATCAATGGTCTTACTGGTCCCCAAGGACCTCCTGGATTACCAGTGAGTAACAGTTAAATATTACTTTATATAATTTGGCAATTTATATATATATATATATATATATATATATATATAATATACATACAAGAGCCCCCACATTTTGAGAATTAATAAGTTTTGCTCTATTATTATTACTTTTTATATAATAATCCAAGTCATTTATTTTAGAATTTTATGTAATGGTTAAATAATTTTATTAACAGGGTCAATCGGGTCCTAAGGGCGAAAAGGGCGACTATGGTGACATAGGGCCACCAGGTTTAATGGGACCACCTGGATTGCCAGGACCACCTGGTTATCCTGGACAAAAAGGAGAAAAAGGCGATAAAGGAGAATCGGTACGTTTGCAATTTATATTTAAAATACATATATTATTTGCTATTATATATTTTATGTCGAAATCGTTCGTAATAGTGAAGTTCTTTTTATTTCATAATTTAAATGTTGCTACTTATTGTTTTTTTAACACACTTTACGAAAAGAAATATAATAACCGACAATCGACGGTATACCTTTACTATAGATTTAAAAATATATTCACATTTAGCTGTGCATATTATCATAATAAATAATGTCGTGTTTAAAGATGTGTTCTAATTTGATTGTGAATATTAAATACTGAAAATAAATTTATATGTTCAGGAGCATTTTTTATTAATAATAAGATGATTAGCAAAAATCAGAAACAGTATAAGACCTTTCTGTCTAATCTAATGTAAAATAAATCTACAAATGGATAAACAACAAAAATAAACATAAAGAATATAAATTATTTTTGAATCCTATTTATTGTATATATTTCATACAAATATATTGAAATGTATGCTTGACCTCATACTTTGATTCTCTACATAATTTAATTGTTAGTATTTCTAATGCAATTATACATATGCATTATTACACTATATAGCATTATTGTATATATTATTCGAATATAAAAAATTTAATACATGTATTATAAAGTTTTTATATTTTTCTGCTGCTTAATTAAAAACAATGTTATCATATATTTATCATTATCAAAGCTTGCTAATGCACTTGCATTATTTAACTCATATACATATTTTATTTAGTAATTATTTTAGTAGTATAAACATAATCATATGTAGTAAATCATATAAAATGTATGCTAAAATTTGTATTGTATTTTTTTCATCTTTTCCGGTACTGCTCTTGTGATGCAACAGAAATACAAAAAACTCAGAAGACGTCAGGTAATTTCTACCTACTTATCAAGAAGTTGTAATGTTGAAAAATCTGAAATATGTAATATTCAATTACATGTAGTTTTTTATTAATATATTTTTAAATATTGATCAATTTTGTATTATAAATATTAATTTGAAAATCTTGAGGATATTAGGCATTACAACTTATAACGTTGTAACAATTTCTATAAGTACTAATTTTGATTATGTAATATAGTTTTTTATCTGCAAAAAACTTCAATTGTTACTTACTTTTTTGTATGCTAAATGCTTGATCTTTAGTTTTATGATTGAATTAATCAGCTTTCATTCATTCATAATCATTATTTGTCGTTTTGATATTAAAATTGAACTTTAAACCTTCATTTCATTTAATGTATACGATTTTGTATGTTTTAGGGTGATGGAACAGGGGAAGGTCCGGCAGGAGAAATTGTGAGTAACAATAGTTTCATTACATATTAAAAAAATAACTAATTTAACCCTTTCGCTATGAGCGTTATCTTCATATGACTATTTATGTGTATATAGACGTTGTCTTCGTATGACTACCTATGCGATTGTCACCTATAGACGACCAGCGTGTATTGGTGTCGTCTATAGACGACCAGCATGTATGGGTGTCGTCTATAGACGACCAGCGTGTATTGGCGTCGCCTAAAGACGACATAGCCAGTATGTTGACACTTCCAGATTCATCACTCTGAATGAAACTATTAAGAAATCTAATTTGTCATTTACATTTTTAAACACATTTTTATTGAAAATGATTGAAAAATATTAAAATATGTTATTTCTATTGCGTTGGACAGCTTGCTGTTCCGTGCTGTAGTGTCCTGTAAAAAACACTGCCATTGCGAAAGGGTTAATAACAAAAATGTTGTAGATAATTTATATAAAAAATAACTCAAACTATAGTTCAAATAAACTGAAAATTACCTAAAAAAATAATGGGACCAATACTCCGATTAAATAGAAATTTAACATACGGTTCGACTTCATATGAATTGGTATGAAAAAACTGTCAAGTCGTAAAAACTGCCAAAGAGCTATCAGACAATTTTCATATAAAACCTAACCTAAAAAATGCGCAATCGACGCACAATGTTACCATAAGTGTATCTTTTTAATGTGTCCTTAATAGGTGGTGATAGTTAAGTTAGGTTTTATCTGTAAAACGGCTGATCGCACAATAAATGCATAGCATTTTGACAGTTTTTACTACCAATATATATGAAGATAGGACATATTTGGGCCGATTCTCTCGCACAACAGACCAATGTTATGGCAAGGCCATGGTGCGCTCCAACTTACCGTACATTATGCCACTGAATCATACCGAATACTGTCAAATTTTCTTGGTTGCTATGCATTCAGGCAGTTTTACACATAAACTGCAACTTGTATGTTATGAAGCTGGGTCAGAAAGACTTTGTTATCTAAGATCGTTTTTTAAGTTTGTGCGGTTTCTAGGTTAGGTTTTCTATCTGACAACCTGAAAAAACGCCTGACTGCACAGCAAGCACATGGCTTTTGTCAATATTCAGTATGAAAAGTTCTTCATAACATAACATTGGTCTGCTGCTATTTGGCCATTTGTTACCGTAACATTTTTATTTCATCGCATGCTTGACCCTGGTATTAATCAATATAATTTATTGTAAATAATGTACAGATAATGGGACCACCGGGCCCACCAGGACCTGCAGGAGTTCCTGGTCTACAAGGTCCTCCCGGAATAAAAGGTGACCGTGGTAATGACGGAGCAAAGGGAGATCCGGTAAGTTTGACTATTTTATTTTTATCTTTTTTATAAATATTGTCGTTTTTAACTAACTAAACTAAAATAATATTGATATCATACATTGAGCAATATTTTTCTACATTTTAATATTGAAATCTATATAACTACATTACTTGCAGGGTGAGAAAGGATCTAAAGGAGACCCCGGTCCCATGGGATTACCGGTGAGTTAATAAAAAATTATTCAAGAATTTGTAGACCTTCGGAAAGATTAAAATTGTAGTTATAAATTGAACATTTATGTTTATTATTAAACCCATCACTACGCATATTTTTAAATTCTTATTAATCATCGGAGGAAAAGGCATCAATCTATAACTTTACAACTATAAGATCTCTTCATTGGATAGCACATGTGTTTTTTGTCAATATGTGCTCCACGAATAGTTTTTTTTATAATTTATTAAATGTGTCTGCCAATCATGTTGACCTTGCAGGAATAGTTCAGAATAATTCAATTGAAAATATCTGCCAAACGAATTTAAATTTTTTTGGTTTTCTCAGGGACCGATGGGATTGCGCGGAGAAGCTGGAAAAGTTGGAGACATTGGCAAACCAGGCAGCATGGTGAGGCACAGATATCTGCCCTAAAAATTATTTACCTTGTTCAACCACATATTCGCGAATTTTTTTAACCATGATCTTCTGAAAATGCAGTCGTTTCTGTATTACTTTAAATAACGAAGTTGAAAATAATGATAGTTTAAAAAAAGGGCAAAATGAAGAATTATAAATACATGACGGACATAGATATACATATAAATATTTTATAATTTTATTTATTTTTATAAGTATTACTTAGGCAGATTAATTTAAACTATATGAAAAAAATAAGCAATTGACATTGTGGTGAGGCAAAACGCGTACTTTTGAGTATTCACTTGTAATTATTATCACAATTTGATATTTGGTTATCTCAATTATTATTTTCTATCTATTTATTTTTATTTCTAACTATTATTAACCATTATTATTTGAAGACTATATAATGTAGTTACTAATACTTTAATACTAAAGCTTGTATTTAATTATAGTATGTACAAATTAATTTTAGAATTATAATTAATTTATTTTTATTAATACGTATATGTCACGCTTTTAACAAAGTTTTAAAATATATCTACGTATTCAAAAACGCAGTTTTTATGTGTTTTGTTACATTTTCTAACCCGTGTTTATAATACATTTGTGTATGTATTCAATTTCGCATTGAATGTGATAAAATTTCTAACACGACTTAATTTTTGAATTCGTCATTGTTTTGAGGTCAAAATTTAAATTTATGGGCGCTATATAAAAATGAATCAATATTATTATTTTGGGCTATCGATGGTAATTAGTAATGGCATAATTGGATTCAAGTTTCAATAAATATCTTTAACTTCATTATTATTTTGTCGATAATTTCTGAAAAAAATATTTTTAATGCGAATAGCAAATCAATTGTGTTTTCTCTTTGGGTTTTATTATTTATTATGTGTTATTTTTTGGTATATGTTTTGTATATTATAATTTTTCGAAATTTTAAGAGTTCTTAAAATTCAAATATATCTTCTTGCATATATATTCGTAATTCATTTTGTGTACGTTTTGCAACTTTATCGAAAAGTTAGTGGTGTATTTTGCATTTTTTTACTTGTTTTGCCACTTTTTAAATTTAATTTCAACCTGATAGCATAATTATGCTATACATTTTCATGCCCATATTTATATATAGACAACCCTCCGATAACGCGGTAAGCCCGTACTGTGTAATATAGAAATCGTGCTAAAAGAAACTCGGATTTAACGTACAATCCAGGCTAAAATTATGGAGCGTTCTATGTAAACCATATCGCGTTGTATAAGAATCGCGCTATAGGAAACTCAGGATTAGTGCAAACTGTACTACGTATATGGGGACGAATAAATACAGAAGACATGATAAAAATTGGCGGCAAATTTTTGGAAAAATAATTAGTGAGTCGAGCTTAAAAAAATTCCGATGTTTTTGTGAAACCATTTTTTATGTAATTTAATAATTTAAAAGATTATTAATATTTGGTACATGAAGTGTTACTAAAAGTTCATGAAAAAATATGATAAAAAATATAAATTATTTTTTATTTAATTGAAGGCCAAATTCTCTGATAAATAGGAAATGTTATGATAACGCTATGTTACGGTCCTATCTTCGTATGAATTGCCAGTAAAACTGTCAAAAAACTAGGTATTTGCTGTGCGATCAGGCGCTTCACACATAAAACCTAACCTACAAAATGCACAAACGTCAAATAACAATGTTATCATAACTGCACTTTATTGATGTGTCAGTGATAACACATGCGTGAAGTTAGGTTTTATGTGTAAAACGCCTGATCGCCTAGCAAATACAAACATTTTTGACAGTTTTACTGGCAATTCATACGAAGATAGGATCATAACATAGCGTTCCATATTATTTCTATTTTATCGGAGAATTGACTTGAGTTTATATAAGCACACGATAAAAATCTAAATTATTAATATTGAATTGAAGAGTTTTTATAGAGATATGATAAAGAAATTAAACTAGAACTGTTGCTAGTACTAGGAACATATTTTCTATAAAAAAAATGCAATCAGATTTTTTTTAGATGGATTAACTTTCGGTAGAAGAGCTTTGTCACTCCTAAAAACGATGTCGTACACAGCTATGATATAAAATGGTATGTTTATACAAACATATTGTAAGTTAAAAAAACGAAAATAAAACTTTATTAGTAGTTAAAAGAGTACTACATTAGTACCTTTTACAATATCTAGTTACTAAAGACATTCATAGGTTGCGCATAAGCAACTTACGGGCTGTTGAACAAAAATCGTGTTATAGAAGTACCGCGTTATTGAAGGGTTGACTGTATTTGTTTTTATTACCTTACGACATAATATTTGATCATGTGATGAAATAAGTTTTCGCTTTCAAGGAAGTTCCGGTAAGGCGTAAAATCGCTGAAGACGATCGCGGTTACTAACAGACTTTTAAAACTATTAACAAAGGCAATGGATAGCTGAAAAAAATCCTATTCGTGCACAGAGCAAGAATAATTTGTAAATTATATCAACTTGAGCATTCTAATAACTATTTTATAGTAGCTCATGATTATTTGTTTATATAAAAATGTGTTCAAAATATGACATGTATTTGACGCTCGAAGCATAAAATATAACTTAGAAAATAGCATTGGCAGCTCAAATGTTACTATTACATGCAAGGAGGTAATACTTTTTTATATTGATTCTGAATAAATATAATATTTTATCGCAATATTGTATTTATTGAGGATAAAATCGATCGTGGATAAATTATTATTAATCACGAATGTTCTTTATGCTTCTAGCGTCATTGATTTTCTAAATGATTCATACTAACTAAGTTAATATAATTTTAGTTCTAACTGTATTGAAAGATATTGCTTTAACTAAATCATTTCTTCTAATCACCGTAGTGCGGGCATTGACTAACATTTATGCATGTTTAAGTTGGAAATGGTGTATTGCTGTCTTAAGACCGCAGTTAAAAATAAAATATAATATATTAAATATATTGTTACCTGTTATTTAATCAATAATATTATAATCGGAGGCTTTGAACTTGGCCATTTTATTGCTTCATAATAAGTTATAAAATTAATATTTGATTTCCTTCAATATGATTAAAGCGTTGTTATGGCAACGCTATCTTATCCTCCTTTCTTGGTATAAAAAACTGTGAAAATGCTATCTATTTGCTGTATGATCAAGCGTTTTACTAAGGTGACCATACGACCCGGTTTGGCCGAGACAGTCCCGGATTTGTACCTTGTGTCCCGGGTTTTTCTAAAATCAATATTTGTCTCGGATTTAGATTTTTTGTCCCAAAATGTTTCTGTTTTTTGAAAATTTATAGGTGAATTACCAAAAATTATGAAAACAAACAAGAGCTATTATTTTTTCAATTAATTCTGAAGAAAGTGGAATAGAATTTTATACAAGGACTACAAAGATGCAGTTCTGATAATATCCCTTCTGAGTTGTTTTCTTATCTAAAATACGCACGGCATATAGATAGCATTTTTACAGTTTTTAGTACCAAGAAAGAAGGATAAGATAGAGTTGCCATAAAACACTATGTTATCGTCTATTATCCCACAGAATTGGCTCCTAAATAATAAAATCCGCCTAGGAAGACCAATGCATTGGGAATATATACTAACATTGCTTGTTCAAAGCGAAATTCAGTCAAATTGAGCGAATAAAATTATTTTTTATCTTTTTGTCAAGTTCATTGCAACCGCATATGTCTTAATTGGAACTAACATTGTATTACATACTAAATATTTAGGTATATTATTAATTAAATTGCAATACTGTATTGTTTAACATTTTAAATTGAATGACATCAATCTGCTTTATTGCAGATTCGATGTTTTGTGAGATATTTTTATAATCTTTTTGTAAGTTTTTGTAACGCTTAAATACTGACAACATGAAAGTTTTTAAGAAAATCTAGCAGCGAAAATTCAAATATGCGCGACATATTTTTTCAGATGAATACTCAAAAGTAAACATATAAATTATTACAGACATTGATTTCAAAATTTATTTATTGTTTTAGTATCCTTTATGAATTATTTCAATCCATGCTTTGATACTGAAATTTAATTTTTTTGAATAAAATGCTGTTGATAGAACTATTTTTGAGTATCAAGCACACCTCTGAGAATATTTGGGATGCGTTTACTCTTAAAAATTATGCACAAGCCATATGTATGATTTAATACGTATTCATTGGAAGCAATGATATATTTTTGATCATACATACGCATCATTAGCTATATAGTCATTATCCTTGTAATTAAAATCAAAATTCTTAACAGTTAAAATAATTATTACGATGACCATGTAAGACCAAATTATGTAAAAATTTATGATTTTAAATATTGCGGGGATACGACAGTGAAAAGTGTTAGCAACATTGCTTTACTATGTTATTGCTTTAGAAATAACATTAAATAGCTTGGTGTTCATGTAAATATTCGAGTAATAATATTGTCTTGTACATATTAGCGCTTCTTTGATACATTGTGGATTCAATTTTCTTACATCTCCTAAATACTATTCACTTTAATAAAATATAATATGGATTGGAATTTTTTCCATTGTTACAATTTCCAATTTACACTCTTACGAGGGCTTAGATTGGTTAATAAGCAAATTAATGTATGTATTTAAAAATTTTCATACTCTGAGAAGCGCTGCTATTGTTCTCGATCATATCAAATGTATTATTCGTTTTTCTGTACATAGTATTTATAAGGTTTTTTAGTAAGCTAGTGAAAATATGACATCATTTTCATTTAGTGCGTATTGCCGTAATATATTTCATTTTACAATTCGAAACACTGATTTGAACTTACATGGAACACTCGATGTGTATCAGTGGGGAATAGCCGAAATTAACGATACATGATAATGAAAGAAATGCGTTTAATTTTCTTTAATCTCATAATTTCAAATATTATGTGTTATTTTGAATTTTTTATGTTTTTTCTATATAATGGCAGGTTATAACCCTTCTGATGCATAACATTTGCATAACTAATTTTTACCATGTGTGTGTACCGTTATCATATCTACGTCCAAAACTATGTATTTAACATTTAAGTACTACAAAGTATGTTTAGAATTAGGAGGAAAATTAGATAAGTTTATTTATACTAATAAATTAATATTTATTTGCAGACGTTGAATTCTATATGCATATATATTCATACATATAGAATATTGCAACGTATGCATCTAATACATCGAACACATTAACCTTAAACTAATATTATAATCAATACTTTTCTTTGTGTAAAATTCGATAAAACTAAATGCGTTTATAAAGAATGCGATTGTGGATATAAACTAAATGCATTTATGAAGATTGCGTGACGACTGTTATTTGTGGACTGTATTTGTCACGATGTAATGCTTTGCTAATAAATTTTTTTGAAGCATTAATTAGACGATATTTCGAATTATAGATTACAAGCTTAATTTTTTTAAATGCTTTATGTCGTTTTCATATTTGTAAGAAAATCTAAGTGTTTATCAACTTAAAAATATATCACTCATATATGCAATACTGTGCATGCGTTTGACAATGATGCGGTCATTTATGGTGTGCGGTTCAAAATGCATTTGTACGATTTTTTTTATCATTAAACTTACAGCAATTCAGGTGATAGAGAATTTTGCTTTTAATTACTGGACTTAAAATATATTAGGACGAAGTAAAAATTACATTAAGGCCTGTTCACACGACGCTTGTTTTCTGGCCTGGATAGCATGCTTGATTTTGTCGCGCTAGATTTCAAGATAGTTTTTCACACGATGCGAGAAAGCTTGATTGCCCTCTTGATTGCTTTGAGTAAGATTTGTTTTAGCTTGCTAGATTTTCAAATATAATAAACCTTATGACAAAATACCGCTTCCTTATTTGTTCAAACGAACGAATCCATCAACAAAAATAGTGCACATTCAAAGTCCAAATCACATGAAGCTTGTTTCGTTGCTTTTTTGGTCTGCTAGCTAGCATGCTGCTTGTCAAGTCGGCAAAACGTCGTGATGGAAAAGTTAGAACGTGCACTATTTTTGTAGATGGATTTGTTCGTTCGAACCAATGGGAAACCTGTATTTGGTCATGTGATTTATAATATCAGAAAATCTAGCAAGCTAAAACAAATCTCATTCAAAAATCAAGAAAGCTAAAACAAATCACACTTACAAATCAACCATGCTATGGAGCCAGCCCAGAAAACAAATGTTGTGTGATTAGGGCTTTTTCATAAATCTATGATCCATTCACAAAAATAGCGCACGTTTTAATAACAAAATTTTGCTTGCTGGAAACAAATAGAGATCGATACGACCAAAAAAGCAATGGAACAAGCGTCGTGTGAATAGGCCTTTAGCGTACGTTCATTAATCACGTGAGCGAGTTTTTAAGGATTTTTTGACCCCTTCTCCCCCTTCGTGATACATGGTGATATTCAAAATTATGTAAAAAATTATATAAAAGGTAGTTAAAATTTATTGTAGGGCATTTTCAACTCAACATTGAAAGTAATATTAATAATTATCACTAAAAAATGAAAAATATAGTTGTTGCCGCGATTAAAAGTTTAGCACTCGCATCAGTGAAGGTATATGATTTTGATCGGAACCAAAAAGAAAGGTTATTTGTAAAATCTAATGTTAATAATTCCGATATTATTATTATGACCCTTCTTACATATTACAAACATACATATTTTTAAACTCGGATTTAAAGCAAAATTTATTTTTTCAAAAATTAAATCCTACATTTTGCATATTTAGTTTTTTATAAATTACTTAAGACTACGTTGATGAACATACATGCCTACAGTTACCAATATGCATAAATATTATGCTGGTAAATTTGCCTCAGCTAAAATTGGATGGATTTACTATAAAGCGGAAACTATCATCTTTTAAATGAACTTGGGGTTTCAAAATGATATTTCTGACTTACATCAGCCAGGTTGACCAAAAATATGCAACACATTGGACAGCCAATAATTCTATGAGAACACAGAAATAACGAAAATAGTATTTTGGATCTAATTAATTAATGTTTGCTTCAATTGTCAACGATATGCACTTAACTATCTTCAAATTTGAAGCGATAGAAAGCATTGCTTGTTGTAAACTGATAACTTCTATACGGTATTTAACATATTTTTATGTATATTTTTTTGAATAATTCAGCAGATAATTATATTTGTACAATATCGTCTTATGCCACACTTATGAAATTGATTCATTATAATACATACCATTTAAATGATATAAAGAACGAGAATACTGTGAGACCTTAAAATTAAAAAGTCGCATAATTATTATGCAAGTGGTAATGATATTATAAAAGTTTGAAAACTGAATTATGAAAATGTGAATGTTATGAATTTTATGGATGATCTAATTCTTGTACAGGAATGAACTAAATAAACCAATTTGTGCATGTGCTAAGAAATACCGAGAATGTGTCTTTATCTTAATAAACTTTTCATGATTTCTACACAATAAATTTCAAGTACACTTTTAATAACTAACTAATTTATTACATTTTGTGACGAAAGATTACAGAAACTAGTGCAAATTTTTGGCACGTATGCACGATTATTGAAATATGTGACAAAACGTGCATGATTTAATATCAAAGAAATTTATTTTTTCATGATTTTTATTTTATTTTATTTCTATTAGGGTCCACCTGGTCTTGATGGAATGAAGGTAAGATAATCGTGTCAGTTTACAACATCTTCCAGTAGTACAAAATTAAACATTTTTAGAATCAACTGGTTGCTTAAAGTCTTACTTACTTTTTTGTTTATTGTTATTTATTGTTTGACAATATAATTGCCCTTTTTCATGACAGCTTCGAAATTCAATGTAATATATCATTCAACTTAAATTTTTGCTATTCTTACAATTAATATTTTTTTGAAATATTGCTAATATTAATTCACACATTTTAATATTTCATTTGCTTTTACTTATAAAATTAAACTGTTTAGGGTGCTCAAGGTGAACCAGGTAATAAAGGAGAAAGAGGCGATCCTGGTCTTCCGGTAAGTTTTTTTATACTAATACATTTCTAAAAAAAAGTTGCTAATATTTGAAAGGCTTGATATCTTTACTTGTGTTATTCACAATATGCTTCACATGTACCTACGACAATTATTTTTTATTATCAGATTGGTTTCGGCCATCACCTTCATTAGCTTTCTTATGATGTTAATAAATTTTCAGTAATTAAGTATTTAAAAGTTACATTTATTTCCGATTGATTCCAAAAATCATCCTGAGACAATGCCATATGTATAACTTAATTTTATTTAAAGATCTACTGAAATTTTCTATAGTTACAATATACAATAACAACAAAAATAAATTTGTAATTTCTAGTTTTATTTATTACTTATAGAGAAATATTTCAGTGCAAAATTACATTTATCCTTTATATAACAACTAATGGAAAATTGGTTCATTATCCTTTACAACACCTTGCTTAGCTATTTCTTGTATTACTAACTACCTTCGATTTAAAAAAATATACTTTATTTAACTAACATTAACAATATTTTTCAGGGAACTGACGGTATACCCGGTCAAGAAGTAAGTAATTTTTACATTCATGGTTTTATCACAGTTTTGATGTTATTAAAATTGCTTACTTTTGTCTTATTAACTAATATTTTCGGTATTTAATTTAAGATAAACGATAACCAATTATCAAATACAATATACGTATATATGATAGTAATTTATTTATTTCTATATCCACTTACATATTATTTATAATTATAAATTGTTGTTTTTTTTATTTAAAGGGACCAAAGGGCGATAAAGGCACTAAAGGCGAGCCCGTGAGTATTTTTTATTAATTTTACGATGTAATGTAGTACGAACAATATTCGTTTTATGTATGATTTTTATTACGACTTTATTCATAAAATTCTTATAAGATCTGTGTTCAGAAACCAATAATTATTGTAATAAGTTTTTAAAACTGAAAAAATCTTAGCTATCTAAAATCTTAAATTAATTAAAGATTCCGACAGAATTCTTATAAGATTTATAGTAAAATTTCATTAGATTCTAATTATTAGTTACTAAAATATGATTGGACTCTTGCCAGAATCGTATTATATTCTTACAAGAATTTTATTACATTCTCACCACCCTTTTATTTATCTTTTATACACTTCTTACATACTTTTTTCGAAATTAAATTCGGTTGAATCAAGGTTTTCATAATTAATTTAACTTGTTAAGATAACATGTTCTTTTTTTCGAAAAAAAATTAGTTGGTGCAAAGCTTTCATGATTAATTTTCTTTTGTGTAATAAGGGCCTCCCAATGCACGGGGCCCACCAATGCCCCTAATTGAAAGTTATCTCTATACAAATTATAATAAATTTAAAAAGTTTAGTGTTATTTAACACGTTGAAGAGTGCATCGAAAACTCTATTTAACACGCGTATACCGTGTATAAAATACACATATAAATAGAACCGCAATAAATAATATAAAAGCAAACGATTTGTACTCTTACTAAAGTATTAGTAATTGTTTGTTAAATATTATTTGGAAAATAAAATGGAACATATGCACGTTATTTATGTAAAACTGTATTTATTTCAAATATATAAATATTAATATTTTAAATTATTTTCTTCGCTCTAACGATTATTTCAAATCTTACAAACTGTATTGATTGCATTACTTAATTTTCACATTTCGTTAATATTAATATTAGGGTCCTATTGGTAAAAGAGGTCGCAAAGGTGACCGTGGAGATAAAGGTGACCAAGGTGTACCAGGGCTGGATGCGCCTTGTCCTTTAGGTGCGGATGGTCTACCATTACCTGGTTGTGGATGGCGACCTTCGAAGGTGAAAACTGTAATTTTTTTTCAAGTTCTTCTTTTGCACAATAATAAATATAGAAATAGTGATGGGCGTAGCCAAAATTTCAACACCTTTCAAACTAACGTTGAACTAACTAAATAACGTTTGAACAAATTTTAATAAGGAAATTTGAAGTTATTATCCAAGTAATGGCTTCTGGGTACGATACGAATATGGAAAACACATATTTTCATGATGAGACTTAATATAATTTTATTTTATCCAATTTATGTTCTGCATACTTAAATAATTATAAGTTTCTTTATTAGTTTCTTATTAATTATTATATCAATTATCACTATCATGGGCACAATTTTAGCAGAGAGAGAGAGCCAGGAATAAATATATAAGTCCTCCGTATTTCTTTCGTGTTATGCGTATTTTTCACAAAAATGACTTGTATTATGTTTATTTTAAATTAATCTATATTCACAATAAATAAGATTTAACTTGAATAACTCCATGCTGTATATAGATAAAAAGTTTTAATAACTATACTTAAATAATGAAATTAATTATTATTGATTAATTTATTACTGAAAAAATGGGTAATATATTTCGTTTTATATTTTTCCAAAATTAATGTAATATAAGGCAAAAAAATATTATTATTAAAGTTATTTTGATATATTATTACTAGCTTGAGTCATACACAAATTAGTTTTTGAATAAAATTTTATATACGAAAAAATTGCTAATTTCCTTGACATGTTCTAACTAGAACATGCTGGATAGTTTTTATATACTTTATAATTTTATTATAATTATTATTATTATGATTTTGCACAATGTTTGCTCTGGCTACGCTCGTTACTACTATAAATTGCGCTGAAATTTAATGTTCATTTTGCGGTGTTGGGTTTGAAAAATAATCTTTTAAAATACTCCTAACACATTTTGTAAATTTTAGTTTTGAGCTTCAAAAAAATGGCTAATGCTTAATTGAAATTTGCTAATATTTAGAACACACGTTCAGCTTTTTAATTCAGAACCTTAATCTCTACTATATTAGCAGATTTTAGGCCTAAAAAAATTTTAATTATTCAAATTTTTGTCGCGTATTGAGTTTTACTAAATCTCAGGATAACAAAAATTTTATAAGCATAATCGAACGATATTAAGGTGACCAGTTAGGTAGTTTGTGGTTAGGCTAATCCAGGACGATAGGGGGGGCAGCTTTGTATTAAATAACTTAGGTATGATTTAAAATAACAAATACTATTTAAGAATACAATAAAGTTTTTTTTAATAAATAGATTTTTTAGTCAGAATTACTGACATCAAGTAGGACTTTATTAGTCGAATATATGTTAACAGAACTTATATTTTCTTATATTTTTCGATCAGTTTTTTTTAAGCCTCGTATTAAATTCTGTTCAATTTTAATATTCTTTATTTAAGGATACAATAAAAATCATTTTTTTAAATAAATCGATTTTTATAGTCAGAATTACCGACATCAAGTAGGACTTTATTAGTCGAATATATGTTAACATAACTTATATTTTTTCTTATATTTTCCGATCTGTTTTTTTTAAGCCTTGTATAAAATTCTGTTTAACTTTTTGGCATTTTGTGCCAGGCAGTCATAAAGTTCGTTTTTATCATTTTTGCTAATTTTCCTGAAATTGAAAATAAAAGTTCGAAATTATTAATATGAGAAGCTATTTTTAGCCGTCTTTGGAATTTTTCAATCAGCAATTTCTTTATTCTTTACGTACTGTTACATATGTAAGCATACTCGTTGTATATAATATTTTCAGATATATGGTGGATAGTTGTAATTTTTTTATCAAGTAAGAGCAAACATTAAATTGAAACCGATAAACCAAAAATCCGGGTCAAAAGGTCTAAATCCGGGACAAATCTTGCATTTAGAAAAACCTGGGACACAAGGTAGAACCGGGTCGTATGGTCACCTTAACGTTATGTTATTTCATGTATTACCAGTAAGACGTCGCATTCAAATAAGACTCGATATATTAAATATTATAATATTATACGAATATTCCCTGAACTGAATTATGGGCTCACATCAATGGTCTTCGTACGAATTGAAGGTCGGTCGAAAACAAGACGTTGTGCCACCTGCGCCGCCGCCGGACTATTTGCCGGATACCGGATCCGACCATTCGTCCGACAATCTTGATTATGAAGAAACGGAAGACGACTACGAGGAGTATCCGGAGGGTGGAAATGCACATCCCCTGGAATAAAAAAAGTTTAGATCTAATTCTATCGAAATCACGAGCATGTGTTAGTTATCTTGTTTCAAAAACTCATTCGATCTTTTCATTACGAAAATACGTTTGCATACAATGAACCTTTGCTCAAGGAATCAAAATCACAGCAATTACATAAAATTTCTTGTTTGTTCATGCGTATTTTTTTACTCTATAAGATATTCTATTCTATAACTTTCAAAGCAGCGTTTTTACAATTTTCGTTAAACCGTAGGGTATTCTCAAAAACATCTATTATAGAATTAGTTCTACTTCAGCATAAGATCCACTACTTTATTCAATTTTGATAACGATTGCTTCAAAATTTATTTCATTTTTAATTAACACGTTAATCGCCACAATAATATCAGGAAAATTTTCACATGAGCCACGGTAACTTTATTAGGTGATAATTTAGTTAAAAATGTAAAAATTTGATACATCAAAGGGAAAAAATCTAAAATTTATGATACAGGAGGTTATCAAGAAGAGAAGCATAAAATATCATCAAAAAAACAAATACCATCCAAACACGCTAATACTAATAAATGATCTGCAAAAACAATTTTCTATCAGAAGACTGAAAAGAAAGTGATATATTTTATATAAGGAAATTCTCAATGGAGGAATTTCTAAACGCCATTTACCCTATAGCAAATAACCTCATTAAACCAACGGTTATGAGAAATATTGAAAAAAAAAATCGTGAAAAACACTATTTTTTATGTCCCATTTATGTGTATGTTTATGACATGGGTCTGGACATTTTGGCATACCTTAGAAAAAGTTGATGTGTGTGTGCGGTTACAAATTTTCGTCGACGATTTTGGGAAAGGGATCAACCGATTTCAATAATTTAAAAACATTTGATTCGTATTGATAAGGAGACGGCTGATTAGTTTTTGGCAGAGCCAGGTCTAGCCGTTCCGAAGATACGGGGCAAAACGTGCCAAAAACGGTAACTCAGTTTTAAGAGAACGGAGCGTCCGATTTCAATAATTTAAGAAACATTTTACTAGTATTCACAAGATGAAGAACTGATTAAATTTTTGGGAAGGCAGGTTTAGCGGTTTCGGAGATCTAATGAAAAAAGTAAAAAAATGCCATTTGGCGGTCAAAAATGATCACTAGACATATGCACATCAAATTATCAGATATTTTATAGAGATTTTAATAATATGTATCAATTTTGTTTACATTTCTATGGGTTCCGTAACATCGTTAGCGGCGTTTACGCGCTTTGATAGTTCGTCTCTATGCAGCTAAAGCAGTACGATTGCATTGAAAAAAGTTCAAAATTGCCAAAATATTGAAAAAAAAAAAACATTTATTCTAAAAATTCAATTTTTTTCAAAAATTTAAAATTTCTCAGAAATTAATTTTTTTTTCAAAGTTTAAAAAAAATTAATCTTTTTTAAAAAAATTAATTTTTGGCACGGGAAGTTTCAACAATTTGCCTTGAGGCACAATGCCATACACCACTGGTTTCTTGATGTATTATAGTCACGGCTCATGTAGAACTTCTTCTTGTTAGTGTCAGACACATATGACTGACATGGCGATTAATTTGTTAAGTAACAATTTTTATTACCAAATTACTAACAATGCATTTTTTGAGTAAAGAACATTTTCAATACTGCATGAATCTAGTGAAATAGTATTGCTATTAATCCTAATTGCATGTGCGTGATCACAATGACATAAATTTGAGCGAATGAAGATAGTAGTTTTCAAGAATCCAGGATTATGAAGTTATTGTTCAAATCTTAATAAATTAAAGCATGTATATCATATGAAATCACTATTATAGTCTGATGTAAATGACGATACTACCTATAATTTATTTTATAGGATAAACATAAAACCGACTGGTTGCACGATATTCAACGTGTATAGTTTCTTCGCAATTTTAAACACTAAATCAAGAAAATCACTTAGAAACATTGTGGGCGGCATCGTCACCCGTGATTAGTGAAATGGACTAAAATTTTAAATGAACTTGGTACAGTGGTACTAATTGATAAATATATTAGTTTAATAACTCATAGCACATAATAAATTTAATTTAACATCGCATTTGTAAGAATCTTATTTTAATTTAGACTTTAGTATCATGTATAGATAAGATATTATAATATATATATATGTATATTAAGTATTTAAAACTATTTAAATTTTGATATATAATTAAATTGAAAATGAATTATATTTTAAACTGATAATTATAGTAATATTATATAAGACTATCAAATATTTGTTTCTTTAATATAATCCCTTTTCCTGATAGAAAATATATATTAAAAAATTATCTAATATCATTACTAATAGAATAAAGAAAATTTATGACAATTTTTGAAAATGTTTATAAAATATATATATATATATATATATATATATATATATATTTGATAATAATACTGCCATATATTGCAGAAAAAATATATAATACTACCTGACGCGAAGAAAATCGGACTTTCGAAATTGCCGATCTGTGTAACCATTAAGACTATTTGTACTTGACCCCAAAAATATGATCAGCTGGTTTTGAATTTTAGTTATTAGTACTGCTTATTTTAATGTAAAGAATTATTTAAATTATTATCGCTCGTCATAGAATTCGATAGTGTTTAATTAGTACATCTAAATTAAAATTAATGTTTCTTTACTTACTTACACTTACTAGATTCAACCACAGCACATACAGCAAAGAAATAATATCTATCCAATAAAGAAATAAATATTTAACAATTATTTATATATGTTGTTTATTCATTTTTGACCACAGCATCTGTTACACAGTCCAGTTTTTGCCAATGGATTTGATACAATGTGTAATAATGTTTTTCCTAGCCAAACTATAAACCTATTATTTTATATAAAAAATTATATAAATTCAAATAATCATTATCAATAAATATAAATATTTATTATAACGACGTATAATATATTATAACTTCAGTATGACCATAAAAAGCAATCATTTTTCCTGGTAAGAAATATAAGTTGTTTAACTAACCAACGTCCCATTACTATAAGTATTACAAAACGCGCTTTTGGCTTACACTTTAACAAAGCCATTATTCCAATTTTCATTCCCTAAAAACAAATAAAATTTTAGGTTACGATCAGAAGACATGTATACAATAAACAATATTAATTTATAAATCATTACTTACCCGATTGTAAGTATAAGAAGTTTCTAACATCTTATAGTTCAGTATGTGGCGATGGAAATTTCTTCAATATCGCATGATAAAGATTATAAAATGCGTAAACGCTGACGCTGAGTATTACAACGAGTGCGCCCCCAAAGACCATGCTCAGAAAACTACCATCTATAAGGCCCCCATTTCGACGATATTGGGTTCTCCATAAGCCTTCGTCGTTATTTCCGCCGGAGTTGGCGTTGCCGCTGCCGCAGCGTTTTTCCGCCAATTCGCGCATTGCGTGTAACCGCATGCGAAGCTCATCAATTGAGCTTGACATATCGCCTAGAAAAAAACGTGGCTATATTATTAGAAGGAAATGATAACTATCGTTACTTAATCGACTTAGTCTGATTTAATATATTGCCATATTTATTTCATACAGTTTTTCAGTTTCACCTTATCTATATATAGTTTACTTTTTACTTTAAATTAATAATATTAAGTCTTAGTTGCATAATTTTGACATGAAACTGAGTATAGCATCTTTTAAAAATCTAAAATTAACCCTCACCACTCGGCACTGATTTAACCCTCCGTCGGTCGGATATTTATTTACCTTCGGACTATCGCAGTGGTCTGGCCAGACCACCATTCATTTCACATGCATTTATATTGAATAAATGAGTTTTTGGTGTCTTATATATTAACGATTATCAGTAGTAAATATTTATAGTTTTGATTTTTTCTTTTTCTTACTGTCTTTTGCATGTGTTGAGCTTACCTCTTATAAAAATATTTCAAAAAACAAATCGTGGAATATAAAAAAATCGTTGTTTTTTGATTATGTTTCTGTTTTATATCAATGGAAAACAATATTTATTCTTCTTCGAAAATGAAAACGAAATGAGGTGCGTCGCCTTTGAAATGAGCTGTAAAACTCAAAGTGAAAATATAATTTCAATTGAACTGCATACTTACGGCTACAAGTTTGCCAAAAATCGATTCGAACGCAGTACGGGTAGAAAAATTGTTGATAATATGCACATTTCGATTCGTCCGATTTTCAATGTTTGCGATAACCAATAAGTTTGATAAGTTTTCAAGGAATTTTCATTACAACACATAGCAAAAAATATATAAAACGCAGTTTGAATAGAAAATACCAGAAAAAAGACAAAAGACGGGTTTACATATATAAACGCATCATATTTCATACAAAATGACGATGGTCTCTAGACAGACCACTCCGACCGTTCGAAGTATAAAAAAGTTAATATCGTTATAATTATCCTTCTGTACATTTTTTCGTCTTGATTTTTCATTGATCGACAGCTAATGAAATTTCAGGAAAAGTCAATAAATTTCAAGTCGATAGAATTACTAGAAGTATATTGTTTTTCGAATTGAAGTCGAAAAAAATCTGGCCAGACCACTGCGACCGACTGAAGGTTAAAAAAAGCTCAACACCTCGGTCCGCATTCTGACGAAAACATACCTGCTGTGAACTTGATATTATTGTATATGCTATGCAATTTGTTTGATATGAATTTGAGGAAATTAAAGAACGGATATTTACAATAATATCTAAATTTATTTTCTGCAGTATGTTAAAGTTTAAATCAGTTTCCAATAGGCCAAATAATTAATTTGCGTCGTGACAGTTGTTTTTTATCATTTAACAGAAAAGTGTGATCGTTTTTATATGTCTCTGTCTTTTTTTTAAAAAAATACTGTCTGATCACTATATAGATTTATACGGGTGGCACTTATTAATAATTTACTAATCGTTATAATATAAAAATACTAAATTGAAAAGGTAATTATTTCCTACATTAATGCAACAGGAACATAATACAATATAATTAATTAACTTCCCGTAGGGTAATAAAGAAAACATTTTTTTTTTCAAAAAGTCTTTTTTTCAAAAAAGGTAAATTTTTGTCAAAATTTTATAGTTTCTCATAAATATAATTTTTTTCAAAGTAAATTTTTTTCCAGCAATTGCCTTAAGGCACGATGCCATGCGCCCCACTAGTTTATTGTTGGAAGAAAGTTGATGAAATAAATACTGAATTTTATTTAGAAATGCTTGGCGTACCGCAGAAAAATATTTAAGGGGCCGCATGAAGCCCGCGGGTTGCTCATCGACGGTCATCGATGAATACGAACTGAGTAAAACTACAGGAGACAGACGGACAGACTTACGTTGTCCCCATAGGGGGACAGCCTAGTAGAAAAGGTTGAAGAATGAAATACGTTGTTGAATGTATTATTATTAGAAAGTGGAGAAATGCCATTCGAAATAAGACGAAAATTCTTATGTGATAAATATATTTTGAAAAACATAATAAATAATGAGTCTGTGATGAATTACAAACTGGTGGAATTATGGAAGGGTTTAGACAGGAGCACATATTGGAGAAACAAAAAAGTACCAGACATTTTAAGCAGTTTTAAATTTTTAAAAGATTTTAGGAAATTTAATGTAGTCCATGGAGTTCATCCATATTATGAAAAATTGTATTATAATAAAAGAACGATTGTAGTTAAAAAAGAGTATAAAAAGTGGATAGAAAACGAAGGACTTGATAGTATGATTTTATATACGGATGGTTCGAGAAATAATATTTCACATAGAGTTGGATGTGCAATATGGAATGAAAAGGAAGAAATACCCATATGTTATAAACTCCCTGAGTTTATTTCTATTTATTCGGCAGAATTAATAGCTATTCGTGAGGCGGTCAGAATAGCTAAAATGAAAAAGTATAAAAAAAACTATGATTTTAACAGATAGTTTAAGTTGTGTAAATAAGTTAGAGAAGTTTATGAATACAATAGAATTGGAAGAAAAAATATATTTTGAAATATTAAATGATATAGAGATAATTACAGGTATTGGAAATAAGATTAATATTGGATGGGTACAAGGTCATATAGGTGTGGAAGGAAACGAAAAGGCAGATGAACTGGCAAAAATAGCAAGTGTAAGCGGACAAGAATATAATAAATGCTTATATGGTGACATTATTAAAAAAATTAAAATTAAATCAGAGGAGAGATGGAAAGAAGTATGAAGAGAAACATCGCAAAGAAAAGGAAGGCATTACAAATTATATAATGACTGTTAATCGTTTAAACCATGGTTCGAAGAGTTTAAAAATGAAGAAAGAGGTTTTATTGTCACCATCAGTAGGATAAGAACAAAACACGGAAGCTATGCAAAACACCTGCATAGAATAAAAGTGATAAATTCAGATAAATGTGAATGTGGAGAGGAAGAAGGTACTCTGGAACATATTATTCTGGAATGTAAAAAATATGAAGAAAACAGAAGAAGAATGTTAAATTACATATATAGAAATTTAGATATTATCAAACCGTTTAACTTGATCTATTAATTTGTAATAAGAATAGCTATAGAGTAATATATGAATTTTTAGTTAGATCAAAAATTAAAATATAAATATGTATATTTAAAATTATATAGAAAATATTGAGTTAAAATGTATTGTAAATGGCTAATTGTATAATAAAAGGAAGCCAATAAAATCATAATAAAAAAAAAGAAATACGTTGTTGAGTTATAAATGTTGTTAGGGAGTGTCATTAATCATGTAAGGATTTACGGAAAGAGGTAGGGGGTGGTTGATAAAAAAAATCATAAAATATCACGTGGGGGGGGGGTATAGCAAGATATCACATGGTTATTTTTACGTGTTTTTGTTTAAATCCAAATATTCTCAAAAAAAATCAAAAATTTAGTTTTTTTCTCTTAACTAAAAATACACGTGATGTTTGGCGGGGAAGGAGGGGTTTTTTGACCAAGGGGGAACGAGGGTCCACAAAACCTCCAAATCCTCTTAGATTAACACATCACGTCGGGGCCAATTTTGGCATGTTTTTCCATGAGGCGGCGCGTGGTTATTGCCTTCGAAATGCGGGTCACCGATGGCCCATGCCGGCGTGAACGTGTTGAATATACAGTTTTACGAGTAACGCTTAAATATTTTCACCACACTTTTCTTACTATAAAATCTAAACATCGACGGCGCACATGCAATTCTAATTAAACGGGAAAATAAATAACTTACTATCATCAATAGAATTATAACCTGCCGTGTCCGTCATTTTATGTTATCTATTTGCAATAGAAATAAAAACCAACATCACTTTTATTAAATATGTTTGCGAAATGCGTTTTAATCGCCAACCGCGACTCAGTAATAATACAACCCAAACTAATGCATGAATTTGGTCCAATTCGCGTTGTTACCTACTACGTATTGATTATGTTTTGATGGGGGTAGATGTTTGCGAATTTTAAATTGTGCGCATGAGCACCTATAGTTCATAGACCAAAACAATATCTTAAACACTAAAACAGGAAATGCATATGGATAAGGTCGACATTTATATTTAAAACATATAAATTGAATAATAAACAATAAACACTTGTTAAAAAAAATTGTTTAAAATTCTTCTAATATTTTTTTTTATTATAACATTTTCACAAAAAAACAATAACTTATATGTATTTTTTTATTATTTATTGATCGGTGTTCTGCCACGGACAGGTCTATGAGTTGAATTAAACTTCAGAGCGAATCAGGAAACGTTGAGAGATTTCCAATCGCAGTACTGAACGAAAACTATTTTCAATAATTGAAACATGTTTTTGATATATATTTTTACGGTAAAATGGATATTATTACTACATTGTGTCAGGTTGTCCGAAACGCAGACTTGAACCCGATACTTTGTGGTTGCGAACCAGATCACCCAACCACTACGCCTCGATCACTGGATTGTGCACGATAAAATGTACTAAATAAACAATATAAAAACGTAATCATTTTTATTGCAACGTGAAAAATATTTTTAGATTGCAAATTTAAACAAAAATTGTAATTCATTAAACTAAATTTACAAGACTAAAAATTTAGATTATTTTAATTGCCCTTGTATGCGACATGTAATAAATATTTGAAATTCTTAATCAACATTGATTTTAATAAATTACTATTTATAATTAAAACAAGTACATACTTTGTAATTTAATATTACAAAATTCATAAATACTTAATTATATATTTTATATAATATAAAATCAAAAAGTCAATTAAAATTATTTGTGAGTTGTTGAATAACACCAATAACACAACGAAACAAATTTTGCCCATTGCCATCGTTAACTTTAACTTGTATATAAAGCAAAAGGTTCTGAACTTGACTATGACTATGTTGAATCAGTGCAGCCAACATCGAGTTGCGATGATCGGTCCCGTAAACCGTAAAGTCTGTCTATGATCGTAGTAAATCGTAGCTACCCAAATAGTATGGCGTCCATAAACACGATTGCGAACTGTACATTGTAGTTGACACAAAAATTGCTTTGTGTCAACGATCGTTTTTCAATGAAAGTTCATTAAATCGAACATGATACAAAGGCATTGTAGCAGTTCAATTATTAATTTGCTACCTCGCATCCGTTTTATGGCTTTTTATTTTTGATGTGATGTACCCTTAAATGAGTGATTTAATGGCAGTTGCTTCCGTATTAAGTAAACTTTTTAAAACACTGGAATAATATAAGTGTATAATAGTACTTGTAACGCATGCAATGAATAAGTTATGTGCAAAAGTAAAATATGTGAAATATGAAATTGTTGATTTCATCTCGAAGTTCTCAGTAACTTCGTCAATGGCTACTATATATTCATAATTGTATAACCTATTTCTAAGTATTTAGAATGTTTAAGCCTGTCAAAGTAACATATCATGGGTTAGAACTATCAATAACGAACGAACCCATCGGATACTTTTCGTAAGTTTGTGAAAAACCTAATTGTGTAGAGATGGATTCCAGCAGCAGCATGAATATAAAATTTGTCGCAGTTTTACAATCTTTAACGGAGCAGGTGCTCGAAAATACATCGAATATAGAAGAATATGGTTAATTAAATACGCGAATTATGAATATCACTATTAAAGACACATTCCACAAATAATACTCTTTAAAATATTGCGTTTCCTGAGTTCAACTTAACAAAATGTGTGGTAAATGTTTATGGACTTATAAATGTACAATATAAACTGTCGTATTAAGCGTATTTATAATTGCTATATGTAACATAATCTACGCAATTTTAATTTATATAGTGATATGTTGTTATTGTGTTGAATGTTTGTGTGTGTATCGCAAATGGTGCACTTAAATGTGATAGACCTGCAATAAAAGTGTAGAAAGATTCAAACTTCATTTTTCCGGCTATAAGGATTTTTGTTAGTTGTTATATCTAAATTCATATGATTAAGTAACTTAAAACTTCTTGGGATTGCTATAAAATACATGTAGTATAATATTTATGTACAAGCTAAATATTATGCATATGATTTTGTATAAAACGAATTCTTGTACAGAGTGTCGAAGGTTAATACTAATTTTATGCTTGATCAGGTATGTAATATTCAAATATTAACTTTTTTTTATTAAATGAAGTGATTATTGGACATGTTATTATTTTAGGGTACTTAACAACTGAAAATAGTTGATGAATGTACAAGCACAATTAATTAGTATCAAAGCATCATGTCCAATTTCAATGGGCAACCAAATCCATTGGCGCAAAATAGTCCACATATTAATGCTAGTGGTGCCATGCTTATGTCTGGTACACAAAATTCAAGTCTTGTATCTGGCAGTTACAGTATGTCAAGCCAGAGCTCTCTAAATGTGGTTGGTCAGATGTCGCTGGTGAGCTCCATGGGACAAGGAGTTTATTTACGACAAGGACAAATCACAAGCAACAACATTATTATGAGGTCTCCTGGCCCCAGTCCAGTATTGCTTAGATCTCCAGTACCTACTCTAACAAGTCCTTTGCGTTCACCTGCACATTACATGACGCCCAGTCCATCTCCATCGATACCTCCCAGTCCTAGCCCAAGTCCTAGTCATGTGTCTCAAAATTTTTCTGCCTTAGGCTCTCTTGAAATTCCTACTGCAACAATTGTTGGTTCTAACAATTTTCCGCTGAATATACATGCAGGAAATGTGAATAAGGGCAAGAGTATCAAACGTGTTGTAACAAAATCTGCAAAACCTTCCTACCAGCAAATTAGCTGCAATAATGTCCATACGGTTAAGAATGTTGCTAAGACGACAAGTCCAAATTCTCAAGCTAGAAGCTCCACGGCAAGCCCTAGCAATCATTTACAAGTGCAGTCTTCAGCTACGCAACCCATGGTTCAACAGGTATTAGTTGCAAGAGAGCATAGAGTTATGAATTTTGTTGAGCTAGAATTATCATAATACAATTAGAAGTTTATATTAATTGTTGCATACTGTGTACTTGTATATAAATATTAATGAGCTGTTGTTTTTATTTACTGGATGTAGTAAAACTACATATATATATATATATATATATATATATATATATATATATATACATATATCCTAATTTATAGGCGTTTCAACAAGTTCCGATGCAAGTTAATGCAAGCAATCAGCTTGTGCAAATAATTCAAGGTTCACAAATTATTGAATCTAGGCAACAGATGATAGGTATGCTAAATGTTTTATATCACATTACATTTTATAATATAGTTTGTTGACTTGTGTGGTGCACTTTTTAATTTAAAAATCTTTGATCAAGAAAGCAAAATTTTTTATTGTGAATTAAAAGATATTTTTAATATATGGATATGTATATTATTCATCAATTTATATCATTCACTTTATGTACAGTAGTGTATGTTATTTTTAGTTCCTAATACTACACAATCTCAAAACGTATTGGCTGGCACTAAACAAAAACCACAACAAATTCTACCTAAGCCTATGAATGCTATTCAGCCTAGTGCATCCAATACTCAGACAAAAGTAACTAAGGCAAATAATAATGGTCAGCAGACCAATAGTCAAATTATCCTTCCAGGAAACATCAATAATCAGCCATTACTTCTAAATCAGGTACCATTACATATTTAAGTTTCATATATATATTATATATATATATATATATATATATATATATATATGTATATTTATTTATTTATTTATTTATTTAATGATAAAGCTACGACACTACAAATTGTGATAGAATTATGTCTTTACACATCTGAATCTGAACAAACTTATAACTCAAATTGTATTTTGATCACAAATCCCTATAAAAATGAAGTTCTAAACTATTGAAATCAATAACTATGGTATTTTATGTATTTTTCTATAATACTCAAAATTGTTTCAATTTATTTCAGATGCCTGTGTTAGTTCAACAGAACTCAACTCAAGGAGTACAACTAATTTTAAGGCCTCCTGTTGCTTCCAACACTCCCGGGCTACTAATTCATAATGCAAGACAACAACCTCAGATACATCAGGTAGTATTTTCTTTCATTATTTTCATTAAAACAAAAGTGCAAATACAAAGATAGAAAAAAGATCCAAAAAATTTTAATTTAAATTGTTTTTTTTATATTTGTTTCAAATATTATTAACAACTAAATAATGCGAAACTAATTAACCAAATCAAATTATTCCTAATGAAAATCAAATATAAGAATTGCAGTTATATTTACAGATTGAATTCTGCATTTTTTTTTTTTTCTTAAAAAATCATCAATTTTTTTTTTCATTGTAAATCTTTTTTATGGCAGTTTTAGTTTGATTATTCCAGACAATTGTATTAACAATTCTTTCACTAATTTTATAATTTACAATTGCAGCCTCAACAATTGTTAAGAATACTGAATGGTATGCAAATTGCTGCCCCCACATTTATAGTATCGTCTCAGCAGAACATGCAACAAAACATTAGCTTGCAGCACAATAATCAAGCCAACATTGCACAACAACAAATTAAGAGCCAGCCTGTTCAGCAACCTCAACGGCAATTACTCAACAGTCATATCATCAGTCAAAATGTTTCTTCAATTAGTAATACAAATTTACAAGCTCAACTTCAAAATATTCAGTTGAATGGTAATTTAGCACACATACAAATGCCAAATGGTTTAAATGGACAATTTATTAGTCAAATTCCAGCTCAGTTTCAAGCAAATCTCGCTGGTTTGAGCCAAATTTCTACGAATGTTAATGATTTGCAATATAATAATATAGAAATACAATCCAGCAAAGCAGCTAGTAATTTGTCTAACATTATTACTGTTCCGACTGTAATGCAACAGAATGTTGTAGTGTCAACTGCTTCTGTTAGCAAAGTTGGAACGATGATTGATTCTGAACATTCAACTGAAGGGAAAAAGGTGATTGAAACTGAAAAATCTGCTGTAGATGTTACTGAAGTAAAGACAACTGTCAAAACCAAGAAAGCTAAAAAAAGTAAAAAGACCAAAGGAAAGTTAGATCTGACTAATTTAATGAAGCTTTCAGGAATAATTGAAGATGACGATATGAATTTCTTAGATAGTAGTATTTCAAATATAACAGCAAATATTGCCAATGAGCAACAGGTGATCGTTCAAATGGCTCCACAGGCGACTGTTGCTACACAGGATACAGATTCTACTTATACATTAAAAGGAACAGATGATGTACCCATGATCATTGCAATGCCGCAAAATCAATCTGAAGAAAATTTAAACTGTAACAATCCAATACCCAGTTTAACATCAACTCACAGCAACACAAAACCAAATAAATTTCCATGTATGATTATGATTCAAAATAATGATAGCTCCGAACCATATAAAATTTCTCTTCCTAATGTTTCAAGTAATATCTCTGAATCTGCAAAAGATTGTGAAGCATCTAATGATGATTTAAGCATAGCAAATCTACCTAAGATAAATGAAACAACTGCAATGAGCCTAGCAATGAGCGCATCAAACTTTACTAATAATTCTCTAAATAGCTCGGTTGGTGTACCTACAATTCAAAGCCAAATCAACGAAATACAAAATCATCTCATGGGATTTTCTCAGGCTGCAAGCAAAAATTCTGCTTGTACTAAAAGCAAATCTACTAAATTTCAGCCTATTAAAAGTCCTGATGCATTAGAAATAAGAAATAATGAAATAGATGGAATTAATGTCCATGCTAATATTCCTAGTCAAATTGGAAATATTCAAATTTCACAGGTTAATATACCTGTGTCAGTAAAAAATAGTGAAAATTTAATAAATAGAAACGTAGAAAATCATATTCAAATTATGCCCATTGTTGACAATAGTATAAATTCATCGGTTAATAAACTGGTAAATTCTTATATAACTAGGCAAATGTCGACACAAAATACTTTTGCAAGATCTGACTCTTTAATCGGGTTATCTGCAGCATCTGATGGATTTGTTGGCGGTTTAAGTTTAACTCTCTCTGAAGATGGCAGAATTGTTTTGAGGCAAGACAACAGATCTTCCGCGCCTGATCTTCAAACTCAAGTTTTGTTACGCAATCTGATTTCAAGTACCTCTGGAACTTCTAATACTAATTTGACATTAACCCAAACACATCCTGTATTTCTTAGTGCATTATCTAATGTAAATAATGATGAATTCAAGCAGAAGCCGATCACCAATTGTGTAAATTCAGTTACTCCCATAGCAACCCCAAAAGCTAACAAACAACCAATGATGGAAAATCATCAAATTGTTACATCACAATCACAGAATGTACTACATCAAAGGCAGTACTTTCAAGAAGCTGAATTAAATAAAACTAAACCTAATCCCGTACAACATTCTATTGTAAGCTCAGAATACTCCGATAATGCTACTAAAGCACTTCTGACACCAGTGACAAAACTAATAGAATTACCAAAAATAGGACCTAATCAACAGTTATTTTCATTGAATACTGCCACTGATCAAATTACTAAGTTAAATCCAAAGCTCACCACATTGGCTTTGACCCCTACTGAACAGCTGCTTATTGTTCCCGCAGGAATCAATGCTGAACAACTTGCACAATGTTTGATTCAAGGACAGATTCATTTTAATGACATCACAGGTATTGTTAGTAGCAATAATTCATCGGCGATAAATCAAACGCAGAATATTGCAACATATGATGACAGTACAAACAAGGAAATTTCTTTATCAAAGACTGATGAGTATAAAAATAATAATAAGAGCACTTGTAAATCATCACTACATGTACCAAGTATTAATATTAATAATAGGAATGTACAAGCTGGTAATGCAGAAAATATGATCTCACCAAAAGTAGGAGTAGTAAATAATTGTAATCCCCATACGAATCAAGTTCCTCCTTTAGCCAATGTTAGTGTTCAAAATGTTGTAAAGTCTACAGAAGCTTTGAAACAAAATACAAGTTCTACTAGTATGCCCAGGCTTATACCATTACTATCAGACGGAGTTACACAGAATTCTCCTAACTTTGTTCCTCGAATTCAAACAATACAATTAACACCACAGAAACAGCAATTACTTAAAAGCGTTCAACTACAAATTCAAGCATTATCTGCCAAACTGCAGAATAAAAACTCATTAGCAAATCTTTGCATACCTGTGCTGGACACAGCTTCCAATACTGCCACTGCAATAATTCAACCTAATTTAAGTTTGAGTGATGCTGAAATTCACATGGAACTACAGAATTTATTCTTAGAACAGCAAAAAATATTAGCTACTGGTAAAGTGATTCCTACCATACCAGGCCAACATGCTAATTTTCAAATGCCGGATAATAACATCAAGCCTGTTCAAGCTGTACAAAGCCTTCCCTTGTTGCAAGCTGAATGTAACTTAAACAATGCAAATGTAATTAAGAAGGAAATAAAGAATAATAAAACCTCTGAGATAAAGTTTCCAAAAACTACAGAAGCCAATGTTACTGCACCATCTACCACAGCAATAATACAAACAAAAACCAATGCAAGTCAAAATTCAATTCAAGATAATTTCAAAAACAATTCCAACAAAATAAGTAACACGTCTTACACAATGCAGGTATGAAGTTTTTTTTTATTGGAATACATTTAATACTATAGCTATACAATTTTTATAATTCTATATTTATCAGTTAAAATTTAGATTGCTGTCTGATTACTATTTACTATTATAACTGATTACTATTTTCTTTATTACATAATATGGACCATTTTCTTTATAAATGATATTTAACCAAATTTGATTAGGAATTTCTAATTTTCAAACTAAACTTTCAGATGGTGGTTCAACCTAGTAATACTATGTGTAGTACAAATCAAAAAATGGATCAACAATCTAGTAATATGCGTTTAATGAAACAACCTATTAACAGATCCAGTCTGTAAGTATGAAAATAAATTTCCTAAATTACTAAATTATAATATTGATATGATGCATTTGAACATTTTTTAATATTAAAATATTCAAAATTTTATTTATTTTTATAATGTATGTCAAAACATTTATAGATTTGAACAACAACTGTCAGTTGACCAAGCAGGTGCAATTAATCCAGATGTCCACACAAAATTTATATCAAAGTCAGACTCATGCAAACGTCTTATTAGGTGAATAAAATGGTATTTAGCCTCAATAGTTAATAGTAATATTTACTAAATACTGTTTCTTCTAGATATCATTGCCTAAACACCCCAGATGAATCTGAATCTGATGTTTCAGAAGAAATATTTGAATTAAGAGGACGACATTTTTTAAATAAATTTCAAGGAATGATTAATAAATATCAACAACTTTTAATGAAGCAATCAATGGTGAGTCATATAAATAAATATATGTATTAGTAATATATAATAATTAATTTTATTTGTACTTGTCCAGAGATGTGCACCAACATCAGAACTGATGATGATAGATAGAATGTTTGTGGCTGAAGAACAACGTGAAATTGAACGTCTTCGAAAGGGTGTAACAGCTTGCAACATTGTTGAAACAGCAAAATTAAAACAAAACCTGAATCATGATACAAAAGAATCTTTCAATCGTAAAAATACACAGATTTATGAAAGTGAGAAATCTATAGATATCAATATTATAAAAACTGAAGTAGAAAGCAGCACATCTGATGCAGCTAGCTATAAAGATACAGTTGCTGTGAAAAATGAAAATGTTGATTCTTTTGATATAGAATCAGAAATCATGCCAAGTTTTATTTTGAAAAAATGTGAAAAGATTTCAAAATTTGATAATAAAAATGAAGTTGTATCAGAATCAACAGATTTTGTGGCTCAAACTCAAACAATAAAATTAATTGAAGAAACTAAGATTAAAGAGGACAGTAAATCAGAACCTTATGATGAATGGTTTTGTATACAGAAAGAATTAGGATACATTGATGAGAAAAAGTCTATAAAGAAACCTCTAGATTCTCTTGATATGCAAATGAATGATATTTTTCAATATAAAAGTAATATGTTTTATGATATAAGTAATAAAAGTGCTTCATATGTTGAAAATAATGCATCAGCGCAATCAAAAATTGAAGATATTTTTAAAGAAGATTCAAAACTATTTGCCGGTATGAGTGTTGAAACAAAACTTGAAGCATTATTTAGTGGTACTAACCAGGCAAATATAGAAAAAGTTGTGGAATCTTGTGATGCATCATTAACTTTGCAAAGCGATAGGAATATTAACAAGAATTTTTTAATTGGATCTTCTGCAAGTTCACCAAAACGCCCATGGAATGGAGAGGTAAATTTTCCAAAAAGGCAGTGTTTAATTTATGATGATTGCAGGAAAGTTGAACCTGAAAATATTAGCACAAGTTATCAATGCGATAATACTAAGCGCTTGTGGAATGGAGAAGTATCTACTACTGACTCTAAGAAAATAAAACCTGACAACAGTTATCAGAAGCCAAAGAAAAATATTTTGCATGATTTAGAGAGGGATTTACTTGGTTTAGATCATATTGAAAATAATCTAAATTCGAATTTTGATGAGGATATAAATGCGCAAGTGCAATCTGCTATAGACAGCATTTTAAATCTTCAGAGTGCGGATACTACATGTCAATTTGTAATGGGATCAGAATCATGCTCATTAGAATCAAGAGATCATCAAGCATCCAATAATAAAAAGTATCAAAAATCACAGCAGAATGTACATCGAACCTCTAATTTGGATACAGGGTTGGATGAGGCCGTTAAATCAATTTTGAAATCATGACGGATTTCAACAAAAGTTTCATTGTGTTTATAATAATATTATCAACATTATATTGTATATAATTATATTTAATGAAATTATTTATTTTAGTGTGTTTTCTAATATTTGTTATTTATTTCCATTTTTTTTGCATTACAAATATTACAGAACTGTTGTTTTTTGCTAGATTTGTTTTAAAGTTATTTTTATAAATTGCAGTTGGATTTTTCTTGAGAAACTATCATTATTGGTCAACTGTTAAGTGGTACACTTTAATATTAGTGTTAAATTACATTTGTAAAGTAACTTTTAGTTTTAAATACATTCCATTAACAGGAAAATCATATTAAATTTGAATTAATATCTTCTTTAAGAAGTACATAAAAATTATGCAAATTCTATAGCAATATTACTTATTATTGTGGCATTAATAATACAATATACATTATGAGCTGCAACTAATTAACATCGAAGTTAAAGATCTCATTTAGGATCTATAGCATACTTAACACGGGCACATAAGTTTGAATAAAACCTGTCAAACGCCATCTTGCTTGGGCATCTTGTTGCACTTTTTCGCCACCACGAGAATTCACGGCGCACTCACTGACATTTTTATGAGCTTGCCCGTTCCCACAACGTACGTCAACGAGCATAGTGTGGCGTACCACAACGAACGTCAACGAGCATAGTGTGGCGCCACAACGAACACAAACAAACATGGCGAACAATGTTCCGCAACTTGTCGGTACATCAAAAAAATGTTTGTACTCGTATGTACAGTGTGGACGCTACCACGAATGTAGACAAACGGTTTTCTTTTTTATGTTAAAATGTGTAGTTCTGCATTAGTTTATATTGTGTTTATTATAAGATTTGGCTGTTATTGACAAATTTTATAAATTTGATGACTTTAAATAATTTTTCTCTTTCCCGCCACTTTAACACAAAAAGATAACGGAACGGAACGGAATCCGACTCTACGAATATCTGACGGAACACAACACCACGGACGCACAACTTAAAACGCACGCTGTGCAGTACTGCTTGGACAATTAATAAATATCCCTTTTAATGCTTTTACATTCTGGCCAAACTGAAAGAAATAAATCATATAGAAGGACACATGTTTAAATGGGAGAGTTACAGACCACTAAACAAGACCATCCAGTGCCACGAGTGCTTAAATTTTGGCCATACCTCGTACACGTGCGACATGCGATATAGATGCATAAAATTCCCCATGATGCACCCACCGGGAGTGTGCACGAAGCCACCAACCGAGGATCCAAAATGCGTGAACTGCCAAGAAAACCACCCGGCTAACTATTCTAAATGCCCAGCTCTAATCAACTATAGAGCAAAAAGAGACGAAGATGCGCTTAAGAGAAATCCAGCATACAAGCCAGCGCCAACACCTGCGCCGCTGACGAGGAGCTTCTCGTCAGCCTCACAACCCACCAACGATGGCCGTAACAGCAGATCTGCGTTTCCTGAACTCCCGGTACCATCATCACCACGAACACAGCCGGCCTCCCAGTATCCATCGCCGAAGATCCAGCCAACACCAGAACCGATCCGGCCAGCATCCTCACAAATCTGGCCTACCACCAGCCAGACCGATCCAGACCTGAGTACACCGGAGGGACTATTTACTGTTATGGGTGAGATCAGGAAGTTATTCGCGGATCCCGAGGTAAGACAAATTTTCAGTGAGCTTTATAAATTGACAAAGACATTGAACACAAATATGACTTACAATGACAAATACACAACCATACTTAACTTTTTAACGGCATGCCCATAAATCACGCACGCGACATACACATAATGTACTTCAACTCCAACGGACTCAAAAACAACGTAGACGAACTGAAACAGACCATAACAAAATATGACTTGGACATTGTACTAATTAACGAGACACACCTTAAACCTACGGACATACTTTACGTCAACAACTACAAAGTATACAGAACGACAGACCGACAAACTCACGCGGATGGGGAGGCACTGCGATATTGATCAAGTCTAATATCAGACACGAGCAAGTGCCAAACCTGACAGCGGGCGGTTCTAAAATAACAAAATATAGTCAAAAAGTGACTATAATATCGATTTACATCCCGGCAAGCGGACTGCAACTGACGGACCTACAAAACCTATTTGACCCAAATACACACGTCTTAATGGCAGGAGACTTTAACGCGCAACATACTTCCTGGAACTGCAACTACAACCACGCGAACGGAATCCGACTCTACGAATATGTGACGGAACACAACACCACGGACGCACAACTACACTATCCTGACACGCCGACCAGATACGCCACCGTACAGACGTACCATCACAGCACGATCGATCTGGCCTTGACAAAAAATCTTCACATAACATCCGAACCCATAACTAGAACACTTTTCAACTCTGACCATAACCCTGTTTTTATGACTATCTCTGACAGACTCGACATCGACCGTACTCCAGAACGCAACATTTTAGATTATTCCAGAGCCAACTGGCCACTTTTTAGAGACATTATCACAGACAATATACGACACACGATACCCATAGAGACCAATACAGACATAGACGAGGCTGTGACACATCTGACACGGACGATCACGGACACCATCCAACACACAATACCGCTGCGACACGCAAATACATCCACATTTGACACACTACCCGAACAAATATTAGTTAAAATTAAATTAAAGAACAATATAAAGAAACTGTGGCAACGTACTGGTGACAGACTACTGAAGGAACACGTGAACAGACTGACAAAAATTATTCATAATGAGATACGTGAGCACCGGAACGACACTTGGACTAAAAGAATGGAAACCATCAACACTGACCCGCACGAAGTTTGGCAAACAGCCAAAAGACTAACGAGGAAATCAACACCTATCCCGCCACTCAAACTACCTGACAACAACTACGCCACGACACCAGCAGACAAAGCAGAAATTTTAGCAACACACTTTGAAAACATACACAGACAAAACGCCGACATGTCCAACGCAGACTTAAGACGAGACGTACGCAATTCTATTCAAAATTTTACTGAACAATTTAACGACAAAGACCTACGAATAGACCCTGCCACAGTTTCAGAAATAAAATCGATAATCAGAAAACTATCGAACAGGAAAGCACCCGGACCGGACGGACTCCAAAATATAATATTGAAACAACTACCAACGAACGCATACATACTAATTACACGACTGGTTAACCGTATAATGGCCAAAGGCCACTTTCCTGCTTCATGGAAAACATCAACCATATTTCCTATCCTGAAGCCGAGGAAACAGCCAGACTCTTCGCAAAATTACAGACCAATCAGCCTCCTCAATACAATGAGCAAAGTAACTGAAAAGATACTGCTCAAACACATCAACAGACACATAAGACGAAACAGGATTATACCAGACACACAGTACGGCTTTAAGGAACAGCATTCTACGTTACATCCACTGGCACAACTAATAGAAAACACTGTACTCAACTTCAATAGACGAAACCATACCGGATTGGTGTTGCTCGATTTCGAGAAGGCCTTCGATACCATCTGGATGGACGGACTGATACACAAATTCATAACCCTTAACTTTCCACCATACATCACTAAACTACTCCATTCTTACCTCGCAAACCGTAATTTCACAGTTCAAGTAGACAACACACCCTCGACGATTTAACAAGTGACGGCGGGAGTACCGCTGGGCTCGATCCTGTGACCGTCCTTGTTTAACGTCTACATCCAGGACATGCCCACTGACGCCGACACAACACTGCTGACATTTGCTGACGACACTGCCATTTACAGATCATCACGTTCACCTACACTACTGACTACAAAAATACAGAGACATATAGACGCCTTGACCAATTACACGGAAAAATGGCAAATTAAAATCAATCCTTCTAAAACAGAAGCAATTTTCTTTACAAAAGGCCGTTGGTCCATTACACTTACTGACTTGACGAAACTAAAGGTAATGGGCCATGAAGCTGAGCGGTCCAAGGAAGTCAAATACCTTGGCGTAACCTTGGACTATAGACTCAGCTTCACAAAACACACGAATACAAAAATTGGACAGGCTTACGGGATGATGAATCTACTGAGACCTATTTTGAACCACAACAGCTCGCTAAGCGTGAAGAACAAGCGGACACTTTACTTAACACTCATAAGACCGTTACTGACATACGCCGCTCCGGCATGGAACGCGACAACCAAGACCAACAGACGGAGACTACAAATAGCACAGAAAAAAGCACTGAGACTGGTACTAGACAAATCAAGGGACCCACTGACGAGACACTACTACCCAACGAAATATTTACACGAACAGACGGACATACCGACCATACTAGAACACATCAAAAAGCTCACTGAGAATTTTTACCGAAAGTGTAGGGATCACGATAACAGCACCATCCGCGCGTTAGGCCAGTACACATCAGAAATGATCTGGTACGGGAAATATGCCATGCCGAACTACCTGATCGAGCCCGCAGTAAATATATAAGTCATAAAACACTGTATGAAGGTTTTTTTTTTAGGAGACTAAAACTTTTCTCCTTTTTTTGTCCTTGCGTAATAATGTATAAAATATTTTACAAATATAAATATATAGACAATGTAGTAAAACCATAAACTTTTGGGTAAAATACCCCTAGGGTAGACAAACCCACATGTAATTCACTGTATTTTCCACTGTATATATTGAATAAAATTTTTATTTCTGTCTGTCTGTCTGTCCCATTTTTTTTCCCAAGACTTTTATTAAATTTTGGGAAAAACAATTTGGGGAAATAATTTTTGGAAACAAAATTTTGGGGAAAAAAATTTGGGTAAAAAAATGTTGGGGGAAATTTTTTTGACAGACCCTTGAACCCTTTCGATGTAAATTATTAAAATGTATTGTGTCTGTGTCTTTCCTATGAGGATTACATCGTCTAGGTCTAATTCTTAACCTGTAATTATGGGATAGTGATGGGTGTTGAATCAACGAACGGTTTTTCTCAGTCGTTTCTTATTTGTTAACGAATCAACCGTTTCGTCCAGTTTCGTCGAAATGAAACAACGGGTATGTGCAATCACTGACACCATGGGGAGTTATCTCTGAACAAATGCGCTGTTTTGGACTTTTTTTGACCAAAATTTTTTTTCCAAAAATTTTTTCGACCAATTTTTTTTGACCAAAAATTTTTTGGACCAATTTTTTTTTACCAAAATTTTTTTCCCAAAATTTTATGGACCAATTTTTTTTGACCAAAATTTTTTTGACCAAAAACTTTTTTGTCCAAAAATTTTTTTGACCAAAATTTTTTTGACCAAAAATTTTTTTAACCAAAATTTTTTTGACCAAAATTTTTTTGACCCAAAATTTTTTTGACCAAAATTTTTTTGACCAAATATTTTTTTAACAAAATTTTTTTGACCAAAAATTTTTTTAACCAAAATTTTTTGGACCAAATTTTTTTTCTTAAAATTATTTGGACCAAAATTTTTTTGACCAACAATTTTTTTCCCAAAATTTTTTTGACCAAAATTTTTTTTCCCAAAGTTTTTTGTACCAAATTTTTTTGTACCAAATTTTTTTCCCAATTTTTTTTTTCCCAAAATTTTTTGACCCAAAATTTTTTTGACCAAAATTTTTTTGACCAAAATTTTTTTGACTAAAATTTTTTTTTCCAAAATTTTTTTAACCAAAATTTTTTTGACCCAAAACTTTATTCTCAAAATTTTTTTGGCCAAAATTTTTTTGATCAAAATTTTTTGACCAAAATTTTTTTTTGACCCAAAATTTTATTCTCAAAATTTTTTTGACCAAAATTTTTTTGATCAAAATTTTTTGGACCAAAATTTTTTTGATCAAAAATTTTTTTCCCAAAATTTTTTTGACAAAAATTTTTTTCCCAAAATTTTTTTCCCAAAATTTTTTTGATCAAAATTTTTTTTCAAAAATTTTTTTGACCAAAAATTTTTTTCCCATAATTTTTTGGACCAAAATTTTTTTTGACCAAAATTTTTTTGACCAAAATTTTTTTTCCCAAATTTTTTTTGACCAAAAATTTTTTTCCAAAATTTTCTGACCAAATTTTTTTTTCCAAAATTTTTTGGACCAAAATTTTTTTTACCGAAATTTTTTTTCCCAAAATTTTTTGGACCAATTTTTTTTTTCCAAATTTTTTTGACCAAAATTTTTTGGGCCAAAATTTTTTTGACCAAATTTTTTTTAGACCAAAATTTTTTGACCAAATTTTTTTAGATCAAAATTTTGTGACCAAATTTTTTTGACCAAGATTTTTTTGACCAAAATTGCTACATTTTTCTATTAAAGAAACGTATGGGTAAATTTTACTGTGAACACGGTGAACCTGCCAGTTATTATTAAACATGGCCCGAGATGGCGCCAAACATGAATGCATTCGGCATTGATGCATACAGCGCACGCTTCGAAATACTGCAAGGTCGATTATGAAATAACGACCTTGCAGCTGTTTCATTGCACTCGGTACTCGAGTACTGAGCGTCAACTCAACTTTTTGTGTTGGGTTTCATTTTGTTCAAGTGAGCAATCAATTCAATGTGATTGGGTCGTGTCTCATGTGGACTTTTTTGGATCCGTCTTTGGTCGACCGAGTCTCTAGTCGACTAGCGATCGCGACAGATTTCAAAGTCGTCGTCGACGTTCTCCGAGTTGAATTGATTTTTGACATATAATATTAGTAAAAACTTATCAAATAAACTAATATTTTTCCTTTGATATTTTGTTATTTTGTTCCATTTCTAACTCTCGTAGTGCTATACTATTGATAAGTTATATATATTTTTCACAACTCATAACGCACGCTGTGCAGTACTGCCTGCACAGTTGATAAATGAATTCCTTTTATTGCTTCTCGTGTACGGGAGACCCTTGTGCGGGTACCCACATCGCCGCCCCGGCTCTCAATCAGCGACATTTCTGTCGCCCTTTAGGGCTTTTGCGGTGGGTGATGCATTTTTTTTCCCAAAATTTTTTTGACTAAAAATTATTTTCCCAAAATTTTTTGGGCCAAAATTTTTTTGACTGAATTTTTTTTCCCCAAATTTCTCAGGCCAAAATTTTGTTGACCAAAATTTTTTTGAGTCAAAATTTTTTTGGGCCTAAATTTTTTTGACCAAATGTTTTTGGGTCAAAATTTTTTTGGGCCAAAATTTTTTAGGTCAAAATTTTTTTTTGGGCCAAATTTTTTTAGGCCAAAATTTTTTTGACCAAATTTTTTTGGGCCAAAATTTTTTTGACCGCATTATATTGCGCCAAAATTTTTTTGACCAATTTTTTTTGTGTCAAAATTTTTTTTGACCAAAAATTTTTTTTTGGGCCAATATTTTTTAGGCCAAAATTTTTTTGACCAAATTTTTTTTAGGCCAAAATTTTTTTGACCAAAATTTTTTGGGCCAAAATTTTTTGGGTCAAAATTTTTTTGGGCCAAAATTTTTTGAGTCAAAAATTTTTTTGACCAAAAATTTTTTTTTGGGCCAAAAAGTTTTTGGGTCAAAATTTTCTTTTGACCAAAAATTTTTTTTTGGGCCAAAATTTTTTTGACCAAATTTTTTTGGGCCAATTTATTTTGACCAAAATTTTTTTGACCAAAATTTTTTGGGCCAAAATTTTTTGGGTCAAAATTTTTTGGGTCAAAATTTTTTTTGACCAAAATTTTTTTTTTGGGCCAAAATTTATTTGAGTCAAAATTTTTTTGACCAAATTTTTTTGGGCCAAAATTTTTTGGGTCAAAATTTTTTTGGGTCAAAATTTTTTTTGACCAAAAATTTTTTTTTGGGTCAAAAATTTTTTTTTGGGTCAAAATTTTTTTGGGCCAAAATTTTTTGGGTCAAAATTTTTTTGGGCCAAAATTTTTTTTGACCAAAAATTTTTTTAAGCCTAATTTTTTTTGTGTCAAAATTTTTTTTGACTAAAATTTTTTTTTTGGGCCAATATTTTTTAGGCCAAAATTCTTTTGACCAAATTTTTTTGACCAAAATTTTTTTGGGCCAAAATTTTTTTGACCAA